GTCAGTGAGACACACCATCCAGTCTCAAATCATGTCTATCCCTCTCCTGAATGGATTTCTCAGTTCTGTCCACTTTTTCCATCTCTGCTGTTGCTGTCCTAGCCCAGGCCCCTCTCACCTGCTCTACTATAATGGATTTCTCCCCTTCAAATCCCATTCTCTTTCTTTTAGCCAAAGTGGTTATGTTTTGTTTTGTTTTTACAAATCAGACCATGTCATTCCTCTGCTTCAGACCGACCTAGTGGCTGCTCACTGCCCTCAGGATAAAGCCTCAGGGATAAACAGAGTCACTAGGTTGAAAGGCTCCTCACTGCTTGCAGACGCTCTGGGAAACAGGCCCTGTTGGGCTCTACAGCACTCAGTTCAGGGGTTTATGTGGGCTGGACTGTGTTAGGCTGGGGAGGGTGTGGGGTTGAGGGTGATAAATGGGGACTGTCCTCCAGCCTGAGGGTTCTGCTCTTCACAAGCTCTGTCACCATAGTGTGACTTCAAAATAAATGAGGTGCGCTGGCGGAGACATACCCTGTCACTTCTCCAGATTCACCTACATGGAGAACGGCTTCAGTGTCATGTTTGTGAGCAGGATCTAGAGGAGATGGCTCAGCCTCCACAGGGTCTGCTGTGACCCTTGCTCACTCACATTGTCATCTTCAGCTGTGTACCCCCAGTGTGGGAATATGGTGGCCAGAAGCTTGTATCTCTGGATGTCTTGGAGAATGTTATTTCTCTGCAGTGTACACTGACTATCCAGACATTCTTCTTTATCCTTTGGGTAAGCAAGCTCAGTTTGCCTTACTCATGTGATATCTGTATCTAGTCTTCTCATGATTTAAGACTTGCCATTTGCCAACACAGTAGTCATGTGAAGGCTAAGCTCTGAACGTGGTTTATGAGCTCTCCCTTAATGCTCCAGTTTATCCCTTAAAATGCTCTCTCAAATCTCTGCTCTTGAACTATAGCAAGCTACTTTCTCCCACGCCTCTACCTGGCGCTCTTTTCCCCATCCTTGTGGCCCAGCTAACCTGTGTCACTCTTCAGCCTTCAGCCCAAATATCAGTTCTCCCAGGAAGCCATTCCTGACTCCCCAAGTTACCCCTAGGGTTTCTACAGTACTTTGAAAGTTCCCCACCCTGACAAGAATCACACTATGGTGCAGTGGGTTTTTTTGTTGTCTGTAGCTTCCATTAGGCTGTCAACAACTCAAGGCCACTACTTCACCTGGCTTGTTCACTATTGAAGCCCTAGTGCTTGGCACCATGGTACATGATTAATACACTTAATGAATGAGTGAATGGATCCATAATACTAGCAATCATGTTTTACTGAAAGCCTGCTATATGATAGGCACTACGCCAGGTACTCTGTGTGCGTATATATATGTGTGTGCGCACACACACAAGTGTACAATCTCTAATCCTAAGTACAACCATGCAAGGCTGATCTTGTTATCCTAATGCTATAGTTGAGAAAACCAAGGGTTAGAGGCTAAGTCACAGAGCTGGGGTCACTATTCGATGCATAGCTGGGATTTGGATCCAGGTCTACCTGTCGCTTTATGTCAGCATATTTACTGAGCTGTATTTATGTGAGGCACCCTTCCCCCCTCCACCCCCTCCCAGCCATCCACACTGTACTCCCATCCAAGTTAAGCCATCAGATCTGGAGGCAGAGGCAAGCAGCGTTTCCAACGCGCCTGGGATGGGCCTGGATTCTATCCTTTATTTCCAGGCCTGAGCGGTTTGATCTGTCACAGCTCTTTCCTATGAATTGCTTTGATGCAAATAGCTCTGTTTTGTGCCTAGTCTTCCCCTAATACCTCCTGGGACTGTCGCAGGGGTTAGAAACAGGCTCTGGGGTGGGGCTGGGGGATGTGAAGACTCAGATTTGTTTGTGTCCTTTTCCAGGGAGAGAGTCCACAGCTTCCATTAGATTCCCAAAGAAGTCTTATGAGAAAAAGGGCCTCCAGGGGTGTTTCTCTGTTGCTTCCTTCCCCTCTTCCTTTTTGGAAGGTTGTTCTAGGATGGCTGGGGCCACCTCAAGAGCTTAGTATGGATGTCCAGATTCACAGGAGAACTCCTTGACCTCTGCAAAACCCATCTTAGAGTTTTTCTAAATCTCACATCCCTTGTATATGAAATAGACCGGGCCAGAATTGACATCTAGGCTCCTTTCTGCTCTAACATTCTAGGTTCTATGATTCCTGTGTGTTGTAGAGTCATTTAAATATCAGCAGATGGAGGCTATAGGTATGATTTTTATGCACACATGGTCTTGCACGCAAAAGCAGAGGCCAGAGATCTGGAAGCAATACCCTGGGGCATGGGAGTCCCCTTCCCAGATGGACTCAAGAGTGGTTGACTCACGTTGCTCTGCCGTTGTGGCATCCTGCATATTCCCCCTGGCAATCCCCTGCAAAGCACCGCACAATTCATTTATGTCCAGAGCTGACGCCTTATCAACTAATAGTTCTTTATTAACCATGTAGGAACGGTCTTTTAAAAGGATTACTCTGATTTTTTTTTCCTTTCTTTTAATGGAGTAACAGGCCGTTGATGCTGAATTTATGATTCACTTACGTGTGCTGTTAATTTGTGAGTTGCTTGATATTTTAAATTGCCTTGAATATTGCTATGTTTATATGTGTACAGTATTTTTGATGTTGCCATTAACTTTTATTGCTAGTTTTACAATTACTGTCTCCCACTAATGTTTCTCCCATTTTGTTATTAAATGAATATGGAAATTGGAAGTGAAGAATAAGCAAATTAGGGCTTGTTTCTGAGACAAGAGTAGAGGCATTATTTAAAAATAGATATATAATAATGATTTGTTTGCTTTTTAAAGCTAATTTATTCCATTTTCCTTAGAAACCCATCTTGAGGATCAAATTGTCCTCTTGTGTTTCACTAACAGGAGGGGAGCGTTCACCCAGCACTCTCTTCTGGTTAGAAGGTGTCTCTGTTCAGTTCTTGGGCTTCGGGGGTTTGGGGAATGTACTTTTATGTGTAGATGATGACAATGATGGTGGTACCTGACTTTTGTAGAATGCTTATTATGGGACAGACGCCAGCTCTTTATATCCAATAACTTGTTCCCTCTGTACAACAACTCTCTGAAGGTTAGTTCCTACTATTGTTCCCATTCTAAAGATGAAGAAAGTGAGTTTTAGGTTAGGTGGCTTGCTCAAGGGCACACAGTTAATGAATGGTGGCACACAGATTTGAACTCAGTTGAGTCTGACTCCAGCACTCGTATTTCTAGCCTCTATTCTCTTCCTTCTTTGTTGCTCTTATGTTTGAGGTGTTCTTGACCATATACACCTGTGACTAGTCCTAACATTTTGTGTTTAAATGTTTAAGGAACTGAAATCTTGGTCTTTGGTTTGGGAATTTTCCTAGCTTATTAGCAAAAGAACATGGTACAAGTAAAGACAAGTTTGTAATATCCTGGAGGCAAAATTTAGGTTAAAGGAATGTTGTATTAGTGGCACCAATAGATGCTCGGAAGCATAATACAGAAACACCAGAGGGGAGTTCAGAATAGAGTCTATTTTTCTTTTTATGTGTTTCCTGGTATACTAGTTTGTGAAATTCTATGGACCTAAGGTCTAGATTAGAAAGTCTAGATTAGATCAGCAATACCTGTAAAAATTCCTTAGAAACCAACCTTTGCCCAAACCAACCAGTCATCCCATAAATGTGTGAAGTTAGGGAAAACTGTTGCTCAAATTCCATCTTTCAATCTCCAATGGTGATGAAAGCCATGGGAAAGAGATTATAGTGGGAAAATAACACCAAATCTGAGAGTTGGACAAGATCTTAGAAATTTCCAGTCCATCCTCCACGGACCTAAGCCATCTGGCTACCTGGCACATTTTTGGATGGTTTTGATCATGAGAAAATTCTTACTTAATAAAATCATGTATCTTAGGACTCGAGAAGCCATCTTTGATAGAACTGCAGAAATGGGGACTTATCCTAGAATGCTGGTTTTTATTTAATTGATAGAAGAATTGTTCAGGTTAAAATAATAAACTCAACACTATGATTACAAGATGACACTTTTTCAGGGAGAATCAGAAGAAAATTATTCTCAAAGTGGAATCAAAGGGACCACTGGACCCAGGGATTCCTGCCTTCTTTCTTTTTCTTTTTCTTTTTTTTGAGAAAGATTAGCCCTGAGCTAACATCTCCTGCCAATCCTTCTCCTTTTTGCTGAAGAAGATTGGCTCTGAGCTAATGTCTATGCCCATCTTCCTCTACTTTATATGTAGGATGCCTACTGCAGCATGGCTTGATAAGTGGTGTGTAGGTCTGTGCCTGGGATCCAAACCAGTGAACCCTGAGCCGCCAAAGCAGAGCATTCAAACTTCACCACCACACCACCGGGTGGGCCCCCTTCTTTCCTTTGATTAAGGAAGCTATTATGGGTAAATTAGGAGTGATATAGTATGGACAGTATCTCCTGGAAGTCTTGGTGAGTCTGCTCCTTTCTGAATTTGGCAGCTAAGCTGTTGTCCCATAATCCTCCTCCTCCTTCAGAGAGGGGGCTGGTTATAGTTCTAGTCATAACACCCTGCGCTCCATAAAGAGGTTCTCTCCCTCCTTTCAAACTCCTCACCTAGAGATAAGATTTTTCTGATCAGAAAATCTCTGCAACTTTTTCAGGAAACCAGTTTGTCCAGTTATTCTTTATCTTTCCTCCAAGACAACCGACAATTTTAATAAAAGGAAATCTTCTAGGGCCAGGATGTCCTTGGAACGTGGAAAAAACTCGGGAATTCCTCATAACTAGCTGGGCTCAGCAGATGTCAACCACACACTGCAGAAGCCACTGCCCGTTTACCCCAAGTCCTGGTGAGGCTTCCCTCCCATGATCTTCCTTTTTAGGAGAAAAGAAACAAATTGAGTGAGTGAGGGGAATCAGGCCAATTAATTCTTTACAACAAGGTTTTATTTATTTATTCTTTTCTTTGAGCCCCCCCCCAGAAAACATTAAAGTTGTTCATCTTTCTTTTATTTTTAATGGTTTTCCTTTTGGATCCAAACGAGCATTATGTTACAGGATATCCACCTGGTCAACATGCAGTGCTGAACTCTGGCTTTAGGAGAGATGCACCGATACTCTGGGCAGGCCAGCACTGGCTGCCATTCAAACGCCATTACTGAAGGGGCATCAGGCTGGCATACCACAGTGGATGCTGCCCCTAAGAAGTGTCTCAAGCGCCTTCGCTCACACTTATTTTGTAATGCAGGTGGCAGCGTTTTAATAGCCTAAGGCAGAGCACCCAATTTCCCTCTTGATCCCATCTTACATGCTCATCCTCTAAGAGCAACTCAAGGAGGGAATGGCCTGACCTTGGGTCCCAAAGAACAGAGGGCATGGCCTGGACACCCCATTGTTCACTATCCTTGTAACGCTATCCTTTGAGGTTAGTACCGGTGCATCCTGCCGAGTTTGAAATCTCTTCCCGATAAAACTTGTCCCCTGTCCCACTTGCCGCCCCTCTCCCCTCCTGTGGCACTGGTACCACTAGGAAGATCAGTGAAATCTCTCCAGCATTGGCACTACTAAATTGAAGAGTTGCCAGTCATAGAGATCGTCTTCGAGCTGCTTTAAAACAAGAACCTCTTTTCTCTCCATCTCCCAGGTCTGAAAAAGTTTTTTGGGGCTCTGTGAATCTCCTGAGGCCTTCAAATCCACCACGCTAGGTGAGTTTAAGGGAAGAAGCCCTCTGCATCCAGTATCACACTAACAAGTTTACCGTGATCTAGTATAAAAGAGGATCCCAGGTCACACCCCTCTGAGCCTTCCTCTTCCTGGGACTAGCTGGTATTTCCCACCTCCACCTTGTCTTTGTTCTACAGTTTGACTTCCTAGCCTCTACTCCAGTTGTGCCAGCTGTGAAATGCCACACACTAGGTTTTTCTCCTCCATTTGTTTTTCTTGGTGAGTTCCAAATCTTGGACTCAGTTTGAGTGGAGTTGGACTGCTCTCTAATGTCACCAAGAGGGAGGTTCCTCTGCAATTGCAGCACTTAGGGTGGCTTTGTATAAATTTTGGCTTGGTCACAAAATGCCAGGATATAAAAACACTGATTGAAGTTCTGCCTGCAGGGTAAGTATATATCCTATTGGTAGCCATTAAAATTCAATACCTATGTTTTTACTAAATCTGCTGGGATGTGCTGAATGTTATACAGCTCCATATCAAATGTACTAAGACCAGAACTACCATGTACTTTAATTGGCAGTTAAGATTACATTGTTTAGCCCTCATTTCATATTACCTTTATTTTTAAAAATTGATTAATGGCACTTTAAAATTTTGGAGTGTGTTTTTCCTGCTCATCCCTTATAAAGATTTCTAATAGACTTGCTTTGAGTGGCGGTTCTTGTGTGACGCAGGCCATCACTATAAGAAATCAGAACACTGGAAAGAAAATCGAGTCACCAAATAGGTCAAATTCGGATTTGGCAGGTTTGACTGATTTAGCTTCCCTTCAGTTTTGGGGCCCTAATCTGAGTGAACTGAGAAGAAAGTGGCACTATCTGGTACAAATTCTGGGATCAGGCTCCAGAATATAGAGAGCAATCCACTCTTCTGACACACTGGCAGAACAAAGAGAGAGAGAGAGAAAAGACTCATTCAGATTTCCAGTGCTGAGTAGGAGACAAGGTCTCAGTGAGGATTGTTAAGTATCGGCTTGTGGGTATTTGATCTAAGATTGCCTGAGGTATCCACAGAGAGAAGACCCCAGGAAGCTCTGAGCTTGGAAACTCAAATTCCTTCCTGGATTGAAAAAAAAAAAGTCTACATTTTGTTGTTGTTATTGGAAAGCTAAGGAAGAAGGGAAGATGGGAAGAATAGAGTGTGAAATTAAAGCAAATCCTGGATTCAGGTTCCATTAAACATGAAGTTTCTTCAAAAAAATTGCTTATAGCAATGCCAAGAAATTCATAGGTGCTTAATGGGATAGAAGAAGTGAAGGTTTTTCTAAATTGATTTGTGGAGACTAAGCGCTTTAAATGATGAGTTATTAACTTACTTACAAACACTTGACACACCCATGAACTAGCTCAGCATTAGTATTTCAATTTTCCTAAATAGGGAAAGAAAGTAGAGAGGTGTAGTGGCCTTGCTGAAGGCACAAGTTAGTATTTGTGAAGTAGAATTCCAGAAGGCTGGAATGTAATTGATTATTTTGACTCCCAATAATTTTCATTTACCAGATTACTACACTCTTTAAAATTTTTATCTTCTCATCAAGAGAAAACACACAAATTTTGTATTTATTGGTTAAAAATGTCCTGAAAAAATTCTATATCCATTTGATTATTTCCTTGGCTTTCACTGAAGTTTTCAGAAAGTTTTTCATTAATCTAGATTATATTTTAAATCCCTAGAAGGAGAAGGGACAGAGATATGGACACAAAAACAAGAGATAGAGGTTGACTTAGAAGGAGAAAGAAGACAAAAAGGAAACCAGAGAAGATGGAGCTGGTAATGCGTAACCTCAGATTTTTGACTCAAATATCACATCATTAAATTTGATGGAAATTAACTCCTAAAGAGAAGCTAATTCAGAAATACTGCGGAGCACATGTTTATCCTTCTCTGCTGCTCTAGAGCAGGTCTGCTGCAAAAAACCCAACTGAACAAAGAAAAAAACCCAAATAAAAAGAAACATAAATCCCCTTGCCTCTTTTTACCTGATCTACTCAACTCTTCAAACTCCCAGAAATAGGAATTCAATAATAATGTATTCACATAGTAGCATGGCTTATTATAAAATCTCTTTTTGCATTTAAAAGGTGATGATACTATCCTCCCTACTTCTAGCATGGGAGGAGGGAGTGGAAGAAAGCAACACTACAAAAAGAGAAGTGCAGTTTGGGGTGGCTTGGCATCACCAGCAATGTGATGAGACTCCGCTGTGAGTACCCCTTTCACTTCTCAAGTTACTGGCTTGAGTTTTGTTAAGAGAAGCTTTCCAGGCCCTTTGGGTGGTTTGGGACAATCTACGAATCCGTTATCTTTGGTTTGGAGTGCTCTCTCTGGGACGCATAAGTCTCAGAGGGTCAAAGCAGAAAGGATTCAAGGGAAGGAAAAGATGGCCATCAGAAACCAAAGATAGTTTTTTCTGTTCCTAGTCTTTTGTGCCTGCAAGGGGTACATCTGTATTTTCTGACTGAGTGAGTTGCAGCACATGACAGCTGACAAATCCCCCCAGCAGTCTTTCTGTAGCTGAGTCTGCCACTGCAGCCAACAGAGAAGCCATTGGCCACTGCTCTGTTGGGTTAGACCCAGCTACAATGTACTGCGTGATTCAGAGAGGAGAAAACCAAAAGTCAGGAAGATAAAGCTGCAGATGTAGGCAGTGCTTATTAACACGGGATCTCCTCTGATCACCTCATGGAAAGATTAGGTCATAACTCCTGAGTTAATTTTGTTTAGCTTTTGTTAAAGTAAGAGTCTCCATGTGGATATAATTACCCAAATCTGGACCTGATTCCTTATGGGGCTCTTGTCTGGAGTTCAACCATCATGCCCTGACTGGCTATTTGCAAGAGGCCCACTTCTTCCTTCTTTCCTGCATCATAAAGTCCTCCCCTGAACGCCTGGATGGTGCTCAATACCCTGGAATCCAGAAGGGAAGGGGAGACAGGATGGGTGAGAAGTGAGTGAGGAAGAATCTACCCCAAGGCATGGAAACACCTCTCCTCACCATGATTCTTTGCACACCGGCACCAGGCATTGAGTGTCTCAAAACCTAACAGATGTGAAACTGATAAAAACAGCAGTGAAAGTTCCTTAACCTTCAAGTCTCACAAAATCTCTGCAAGGTAGGTGACTATCAGCTCCCCTCCTGCTATACATATGCCTTTTAAAAAATACAATCTCATAATATTTATATATTATAGCTGAGCTGAGAAATTAAAGAATCTCTCAACTTATCGCTGGCTCAACCCACTAAAGAAATATTCTGTCCAAAAATGAGCATCCAGAGCAGGCTTCAGAAATAGGATGTATTGAAAATTGAGAACTTTCTTTAAAAAACAAAACTTACTCAGTTTTGTTCCATTATGCCAGAAGAGACCTAATTTCCCTGCAGTGGGCTTTCATTGAGTTTGTGGACAATTCATACACACTCCTCTACACACCCCAACAGTCCTGCACCTTACCCTCTTTCAGATCATCTTGCGAATATCACCTGGTGGGTTCCCAACTCTGTTTCATGAGAATGAAGCATTCCCCAACAGCAGAGGTAGGCAGGTCAGCAAATAAGCTTGGATTGGGCAGATTTAACCACCTCAGGAGTTGGGTCAATGCTAACATGCAACAAAACAAGGGCGGAGATGGGAGTACAGGGGGCAGAGGACACTCAGGCTCATCACGAAGGCTGCATGGGGGGAGGATGTGTGTGGGCAAGGGAGATGCTGGCTCAGTGGAGGAATATGGGGTCTTCACCTGTGGTCCCAGAGTTAAGGGAGGGCAAAGTCCAGAACATCTGGAGTTCAGCTTCAGAGAAATGTTCTCAGTGATCTCAGTACCCCATAGGGACATCGAGTGGGGAGCAAAAGTGAAGCCCAGAATAGAAACAGATTCTTCAGCTAGAAGAGTGGACAGCCCCACATTGGGCAATTGTATTCATGGCTCACTTGGAACCTGGGAGACACTCAAGACACCTCCATTTACGGTGCAGGTAATCCCATCCTGCCCTCAGCTTGCAGGCCTAGAGCCACGTTGGAAGGCCTGCTGTCACCTGCCCTCTTGCTGATTGAGAGAAGGAGACCACACACACAGAACGAGACAGAGACGTGAATTCCCCACCAGAGGTCTATCTGGAGCCTTTCGTGAAGAGAAGAGTTAGTTATCTAAACACCAATCTAGTTAGAACATCTCCCTGCCTTGGTTTCTTTTCTTTTCCTTCTCCTCTCTTTTTTCCCCCCTCCCTCTCTTTCCTTCCTTCTTTTGAAGAGATGCTGAAGACTAACATTAGCAGGGGAAACTGGACATACAGCTAAAGAGTCTCCCAGGGGGACCTACGGTGCTAAGGTTAATCAGGCTGTGCAGCTCGAACACTGGGAGTCGTCCTGTTTTGCTTGGCATTTCTCAAGATGCTGCCATACTTGTTCATCCAAAGAGAAGCCCGAATTTTAAGATCTAAAGGGGCCTCTTTTCAAGGGAAAAAAGAGGCAGAAGCTGATGCCTAGGAAGGGATGTCCTGGTCAGCTATTAGTGGGAAGGCTGGAGTTTATATTTATTCAGAGGCAGAAGGAAACTGTTGGAAGATTATGATAATGAGTTCCGTGACTTAACAGAATTTTCTGTTCTTAATAGAAGAGTAAATGCAGGCTAAGGGATAAGAAACCTGATTTCTTGGTCAGGGGAAGTTGAATAAAAGAAATGAGTTCCTAAGTTCACTGGCTCTAGAAGAGTCTGGGTGCTTGGTCAGGGGACCGCATCTACAGTGCTTTATGCCACTGTATTCGGGATTCAATGCCCGTGTGTACATGAGTGTAAAGAGTTCAGGTGTCCAGGAAGGTTTCCTGGCACAGTAAATGTAGTGTTCGTAATGTTGTTTGCAGGCAAATTCCATTTCTGGTAATTGCTCTGCCAGCCTACGGCACAAGGTATCTCTTCAATTCCCTTTCTCAAAACACAATGCAATCGACTCGCTGGATCGGGATGGTTGTCCTGTCATTAGGCCTGTCCCTGGGGAAAGCTGCCTTTCCAAGGTGGAAGAAAGCAATTTTGTGCCCACAAAGCAGCCCATAGCAGCCCTTTGGCATGAAATGACGCTGAACAGAGGAAACCTTAGAAACAATACCCGGCCCAGCGTCAGCTTTATATAACAACCACGCCCGTTAGCATCGGGGTGTTTATCTAGTCACGTTCACATTCCCAGCTACTCCCGAGCACACAGGTGCTGAGTGGGAGGGGAAAATGGAGATGGAAGAGGGTCTGGGAGTGGGAGGCTTCTGTCTCTGACTCACTGATCTCCTGCCCTGGGACTGCTTTGGTTTGGGGGCTGACAGTGGGTCATGAAGCTCCATCAATTTCTAGAAGAGAAGGCAGGGCCATGACAAATGATTCTGCAGCCACGTGGTTGTATTTGGCTTTTCAGGGCTGATACAGCTATGCCTTATTTCTATTTCAACCAAAAAAAGAAAAAAACTTCATAAAAAAGAGGCTCCTTGCAACAGCCACCAACTGCTCCTACCCAAGAGGTGGAGTCTGGGCTGGAGGAGGATAAAAAGAGTGTTTATCCACTGTGATCTCAGTCCACAGGCTTCCGAGTTTCCCTACAGAGGGTCCTGTGAGACAGGCTCCATCTGTTCCTGGCTGGGAAACGAGGGCCCTGCCTGGCACCCCTCTCCAGGGGATCCTTCTAGCTACTGTGATGGTGCTGGGGGACTGGGGAGGGACTTAAGGGGATGGTGCATCGCCACCAGATAAAGACAGTGATGTGTTCCACTGAATGGATGATCTATGCTAAAGGAGTGCTCATTAGCCCAGGCAGGATTCTCTTTTTGTCAATGCTTCTGAGTTTGGGGGTTTAGGAATGACATCGTGGCCTGAGGCTGTCTTCTGCCCAGCTCTTACTCTGGGGGGGGGGGGGGGAGCCCAATCTTGGCCCAGGGAAATATTCAGGGCCCCTGGGGCCCCAGTCTTGTCACGTTGTATGATTAGGCCCCATCAGAGCTTGCTTTGCTAGAAGGAGCAGTCCAGGTCTAAGCTGAGGTATATTTACTAACCACCTTAAAGCATCCTGACAAACTGACCCTCAACCACCACCAGCTGCAGAAGCTGCTAGACCAAGGGTCCCTCGGTAAACTCAGACTGACTCTCTCATTGAGGCTTCTCTTGTTTCTGGCTGTCGACCGTTCCCTTCTCTACTGAAGTCCCTATGAAGGGATGTGTGGCCCATCTTGGATATGTGTGTGCTGCCCTCTCAAGGAGTGGCAGTGAAGGCCGGGCCACTGGCACTTGGCCTCCCTGGGCTTGGCACAGCACTGGCCTTGCTGCCCAGCAGAGAGGCTGCTGCCTCCTGGACCAGAGTCTGGGCTGACATTCAGCCAGTGTTTGTTTGCTGGTTCCGACCATAGCGCTGTTTCACGTACTTCTATAAGGGCTGGAAAACATTCTACCGTGAGTCCCTTAAGTGACCCCCTGCCATACTTACCCCACCCTCAGCGTTCCCCCATGACCAGCATGTGCAGGGCTGAGGCCCGGCATAGCCTGGGGGCTCCAGCACTAAGGCCAGACTCCACTCTCATCAGCTGGTGCCCTGGCCATACAGGTTGTTAAATGCTTTTAAAATATCACCCTTACGGAGCCTCAGGCACCTGTGGACCCTGGGGGACCTCCTTGGCCTATCCTAACACAGCACCTACTGAGTGGGCGACAGGCTTCAGAGACAGGTCTGCACCCACCAGCACAACCAGTGCTCTGTCTCCTTGCCCTTCTCCTCCACATTGTGGACTGCTCGGCTATGGCTTTGCTCATCCAGACCAGCCCTTGCTGCTGCTACCACAGCACCCTGACCCCTTCCACTTCAGCTCTTTCCTCCCTCCCTCCCCGCCTCCTCCCCCTGGCATCCAATGCTCCTGAACTTAGCCTGTGCTTCTTTGGGGGAAGCAAGCCACAAGATAACGCATGAGATGCTGCTGCAGTTGCCCTGGTGGCAGTGGTGCTGGCTGAAGAGCAAGAGCTGGTGAGGGAGGAGATTCCCCTCCGAGTCTCCACGGCTCCCCACTTAAGAGCCAGAAAGTCTTCCAGGCTTCTCAGGGCAATGGGCGTAGACACAGGCCAGCTCAATCCCTCCACGGCTTTTAGAAAAGTGGGAAGGGGCAAGGGGAAGCAAAGCCATCCTCGTGTCTCTTCTCCCATGGGAATAACCATCCGGTATTTTCTTTCCCCAGCAAAGAGGCAGAACTATGGCAGTACCCGTCTTGCAAAGGGAAATAAAGCAATTTGGTGGGTTTGACTGGTTTTCCTTTTGTCCTTTCCTTCTTCTCTGATAATGCATGGTGTCCTTCCATCTTCCTCCTCCCTCTTCCTCCCCCCCGGGCCGCACTGGCTTCCCAATTCGGTCTTGGTTTTCTCCGTGTGAGAGAAGAGCATGCATCGGAGGGGGGAGCAGCCTCTAGCATTTGTCGTCTTCTTCCGTGTCGCTCAGGAGGTCGCTGACAGCTCCACACATCACGCCTGGCCCAGGCCCCCCACGCCTCCGCCGCCGATAGTGCCCATTGGGCATCTGCCAGCTGTGCCGCAGGGGCGGGGCTGAGCCGATGGTGTTGGAACGGCCCAGGCTGGTAGCCACAGCTGCTTCAAAGGTGAGCGTCTCCTCCTCGCCACAGTCCGAGGCATGGGAGTCTTCGTGCAGGGCCAGGTAGGGCTCGGAGATGTAGCGCTGTGGGGAGGAGTGTGGGCCCTGCTGTGCGTGCCGGGAGTTGGAAGACTCGGTCAGGATAGCGTCGTTGCTCTCCAGAGCTTGGGAGGCCAGTGGGGAGCCACCCTCACTCCCATCAGCGGGTGGCGAGATGCTCCCGGTGTGTCGTATCAGGGAGCTGTAGGAGAGGAGGGGCCGAGGCTTAGGAGGGACTGGTGGGAGCTGCCGACGACTCCGTCTTGGGGTGCTGGTGTCAGAGACGGAGGGGATGGAGCTTTCACTCAGGGAGCCTGTGCCCTGTATGGCAGGAGAGACATGGCATGTTAGACTGGGTTTGGCACGACCCCTATTTGGGATCCTGTTAAGGTCCCTAACCCTTCTTACAGAGAGCCCTTTGAGTCGGAATTCTGGGTGGGGGAGACCCAAGTGGGAGTCCCCTCTGCTACAAGTCATATCCACTCAGGGGCACATGGATTAAAGGAGATTGAGTCGTCAATACCACCTAGGCCAAGGCACGTCAAATTTTAATACGCATGCAATTCTCTGGGGATCTTGTTAAACAGCAGATGCAGGCTCCGCAGGTCTGAGGTGAGGTCTGAGATTCCGCATTTCTAACAAGCTCCCAGGTGTTGCTGGTGCTGTTGGTCCATGGAACAAACATTGAGTAGCAAGGATCCGGAAGCTGTATACATGTAACAACTGGCACACTGAAGAAAGACTTGAAACTTTTAAGATGACTACATGAAGGGTGAAAGATGCTCTGGAGTCGCTCTGTCTAGGAAACCTTTCTTGGGAAGTGGGTGGCAAATACTTTCCCTCATCTTCACTTCTTGCCTCCATGTTTTCGGTGGCTTGCTGAGGTTAACTCAGCCTCGACGCCCAGCATACTCATTTGTTGGGTCAGGCCTTACTTGTCTGGTTCACCTATTCCCAAGCATCCCTGAGCCCAGGTGATGGGACACGGACCTCCAGGATGGTGTTTCTCAAGGTATGTGTGACCTATGAGCCACCTGGTCCTGCCAAATGCAGATTTCTGGGTTTTACTTTTCAGCGGGTCTCACCCCTGAAACAGAATCCTTGAGGTCCCAGGAACGTGCAGTTATAACAAGCTATAGGTCACTGTTCTGTAGCAAAACTCGAAAACCACTGCTTTAGAAGTAAACGTCTCCCCTGCCTCTGTCTCTAAAGTCTGCTGTAGCAGTCTCTCTCTCTTTCCCACTGCTCATTGTTGAGTGGGGCCACCTGGGCTCTGACAGCCTTGAGAGAGGCAGGGATGGGCATGAGGGGCGGTAGCAAGGAGGAAAACAGGGCCAGAGAATGTTTCCACACCACTCTGCTAGTTATTTCTCAGGCCTAGGCTGCTGTTTCAGCAACAGGCCAGAAGGAGAGGCAGTCTTCCTCTTGGGATGGCTGGAAGCTAGGTAAATGAGGCTGAATCCATCCGACATGAATCCTGTGCTAAGAGGTGAATCACCATTCCAACTAACACTAAGGATCAGGCGACTGATCTAAGATACTTTTCCAGCCAAAGGACCATCCTTTCCTCCAAAATCTGGCTGAGACATTTGTGAACTTATTTGTGACTCTGTACCTCAGGATTCTCAGGACTGGGGTGGAATGACCTCTAGACACCATTGTCTTTCTTGGGGGACTATCTGGTTTTATGTGAATTCACATAATTTCCGAGTAACAAGCATTAAGTAGCCAAACTCTATGCACAGTGGATGTAGTTTCCTGTGAAACTGGAGGTCTGTGTGGGGGCTGGATGCCCACATTTTGCACCTAATGTTAACAGACCACCCTTCCCTGTCTTTCTGCACAGGCTCAGCTTCCTCTCTATGCTCACCTGTCTGTTGGGGGTCTGTGACCTGCCCTCACTGGGAGACCTGGACTGACGACGCTCTGGGGACTCCCAGTCGGCCTGGGTCCCTCGCTCCTCTGAGTTGCAGCGGGAGACATCAGGAGAGAGAAGATGCTTTCGCTCTTTCGATCGTCCCCGCTCTCTGCCCCCTGAGCGGTGGGTGTCGGACTTGTGGCCTGTGAGATATAAGAAAAGCACCGATCAGGACTCCAACCATATTGGCCACTAAATATAAAAAGAAGTCTTACAGCCTGGGACTGGACCCTAAAGAATCCTGGCTTTTCCAGGCACGTCAACAGGTGATCTGAAAGGGAGGCAGGAGGTTGGAAAATTACCCTCTTGTGAAGAGGGGAATATGCAAGTTGCCACTGGAAAGACGTGTATGTTAATTGGTTCTCTTCTGCTTCCGTTTACACGAGACACAATTAAGACAGAATCTTTGCCAACAATATGGCCCAGGGATTCTCTACGTCCTAAACATGAGAATGGGACTTTTTAGGGGAAAGATGGCACCAGTAGGAGGGAATTGAGAAGTTGCTGTGAATTAAATAATGACAGAGCTAATGTAATGCCAGGGTGAGCATCCTGGGATTGCAGTCAAAGGATTTTCACTTCTAGTCCCATTTCTGCCTCTTCCTGACTCTCTTCTATGGGGCACGTCACTGCTTTTTCATCTGTTTCCTCATCTAGTAAAATAAAGAGTTAGAAACAGAAAATCTTTAGTCTGCTTCAATCAGTATGCCTTTTCTCCTTAAAAAACAAAACTCCAATCCATAATTTCAGGTAGCACTATTTGGATGGAAGTGGAGTTGGGGTTAAAGCCCCCTGCCCCTGCCAGGGGGTCTCGACTACATTCCTAAGGGACCCCGACTACATTCCTAAGGGACCCCAGGGGTTTTGCAGACAGCCACCTGAAAATCCCAGTTTTAATGACTTCTCTAGTCCTACCCTGGAAGAAAGGAATCTCACCAGCCTTTGTGATGAACACAGAAGGCTTTGCGACCTTGTTTCATGATGTGAGTCAGACAGAGGATCCCCTTTGGTAAGGAGCACTCTTCCTTCCTTCAGCTCTCCTCAACCTGTGTGGTTATCTGCATTCTGTTCCAGAGATTTGCAGCCCTTGTCAGAATCCACCTGTCAGGGCATGAGCCCGAAAAGAGGCAGACAGCGAAGGCTTCCTCACCTGAGTCAGAGTTCAGGCGATGGGCTGACAGCCTGAGGGAGGAGTGGTAACTCCGGCGACGTGACTTGTAGGTGTTTTCACTGCTTCGTTCCATGGAGAATTCCTCCAACCATGAGGAATTGGAACGCTTATCCCGAATAGTGGAAAATGATCGTCTCATGGAGCTGGGATCTGTCACCACCTGGAAAGATGAGCCCCCAGAGGAACACAACATCTGGATTAATTACTGAAAGGGTCTCCAGGTCAGGAAGAAGTGGGACTGAGATTGCTGAAGATGGCAAATTGCAACCTCCCTTGAATCCCTCTTGCTCAGACCTCAGCTGGAGGAGGTTGTTCTGGAAACTGTCTTTACGTTATGTTAACACAGTCACTGGGACTGGTCCAGAGTCTTCTCTTTACGCTCAGGAGAGCAAGCAGCTGAGTGTACTCTGCAAACTTCCCAGAGAGCCACATCCCACAGGGGCTCAGCCAGGACCTTCAGTGAACTTTGAACTATGTGAGGACAATTGTCCAAAAGTCTACACCATGAAAGAAGCACGGCTTTGCTTTTGTGTTTTGCCCTCATCAGAGAAGGCCCTGCCCTATAGCATGAAGGCTGAGGAGAGCTTGTAACTGAACAGCTGCTAAGAATGCATTGCTCTCTCTCGCGCCAGTCCCACCCTAGCCCCACCTAAACTCCGGCATTTAGATTTGCCACAGATGTTAAAACGGATTCACAAAAACTTCTTGTCTCTGTCAAAACTTGATGTAAGACAGACAGACAGAAAAAGGAAACCAGGAAAACAGACAAAGAAATGAGGCATGGCCTGCACTGCTTAGGACAGACAGTCCTGACACAGAGCTGTGTGTGTAAGTAACTGCATATGTGCTGGAGGAGCCAGGAAAGGAGGAAAGGAAGGAAAAATACACAAGGAAAATCCTGGAAAATATTTGTTGCATGGCTGGTTGAGTCTTGAGGATGCTGAGTCCATCCAGAGGGAGTTACGCCATCTTGCTGGCTAGGCTGTCGTGGTTAGCACTTCACTGAAAACACATTGTGGAGGAGATGGCTCTACAGAGAAGGCCCACAAGCTGGGTTTTGCTTATATAGAAGGGGTAGGGGCAAGTCAGGGGCTCACCTGAAAATATCAGCTGTTTTTTCATAACCCACCAATTCAATAGAGCCCAGGATGCCACTGCGTATGGTAGGTGGTGGTTGCTTTTTACCTGGGGATCCACAGTCAGGCGTGGCATAGAGGATGCCCTCCCAGATCCCGCATGCTCCTGGGTGTCCGAAGGAAGGTAGATGCCATGGTTAGAGGGCTGCACGCTTTTAAATTCACTAACCTCTGGCTCCTGGAAATAAACACACAGCCAAGCTTGTGGGACCTGGTCCATCTCATTGCTTCTCACCTCCAGTGAATGATTCTGCCTCCTCCAAACCAAGAATGGCTTTTAGAAGAAAGACTTGCATCTTTAAGGTCTCAGTTGTATGTGTAGATACATGTGTGTTTATGTGTGCACATAAGTGGTACCCCAGATGTCCCAAACAGAAAGCTCTAACTGGGATTGAGAGGTAAAGACCATCTTTTCTAGTCAAGTGTCATCTTCTTTACCACTAAGAATGCTTCAGATTTTATAGCTTTGTAAAACAAACATTATTGGGCATAATATGTTTTAGATACGTGAAGTTTACTTTCTGAGAGTTGGTTGTGTTGGGTTTATTCTTTTAATCTGAAGAAGTCATTTATCAATTAATTAAATAGGAACCAGTCTTCTAAGGAACGTCACCAATTTCTGATGTCAAATATATCTCCTCAAACCTAAGACACACGATTTTATTAGTTAAGAGTTTTCTTATGATTGAACACACCCAAAAAATGCGGTCGGTGGCCACCTGCCAGGGGTGCTCTAGGGCAGTCCAACAGAAATCATAAAAAGACATGAAATTTAATATATTTTATTTAATTCACTATATCCAAATATTCTCATGTCCACATGTAATAAATATAGCACATCTCAATGTGGACTAGTCACATTTCAAGTGCTCCATTGCCACACGTGGGCAGTGGCTCTTGTACAGCACGGTGCCACTCTGGAGCATTAGAAGGTTGCACTGAAAAGCCCTAAGGTACTGTCTAACTCTTGCATGTTATTTTCCTGTTTAAAGAACATTAGTTTAGCAAATGTAGGCACTCTATACAGATAGGTAGTGTCACTGCATAAAGAGTGGAGCTGCCTTAGCCACCAAGGAGACCTAGGAACATCTTGAACATCTGGAGATTATACCAGAAAAAAAGCTATTTTATATTTAGGAAGTGACACCCTAAAAACCCGGGTATCTGAGTAGGGCACTGCTAAAGGAAAGGGTGCCCGAGACCCCCCACAGCCTCCAGGAACATTTGGCTGAGTGGTTCCCGGTGGGAATGGGTGGACTGGCTTCCCAGGACGTGTGATGTGTGCACTTGAGGAAGTTATAGTGTTTGCAGCACATGTTCTATGGCACACAGGTCTGACTCGAAACAGATGTGGTAACAACACTGCAATCTATGGGTGTCAGAGGTGGTGCAAGACACATACACTCCGTATGCGCACACACAAATCATGGCCACGCCTCAGGATGTAGAGCAGGGGGCCCCGAGGGATGGGCAGGAGTACACAGTGGTAAGGGTGTAGCACAAGCTGACACCTGAATTGAATTACAGACACCAGTACTGACAATGAGATGAACACATATCCAAAAGTCCTGGCACTACGGCTCAGCCCTGGGGAACCCGCAGAAACGATGACGTAAGAAAGAAAGGCTTCCTGTGAAAGAGAGGACATGTTATTGAGATTTTCCCACCAGACACACCACCAGGCAGACAAGCTATAAAGTGCCGAGAGGGCTTTTCAAGAATCAAACTATCTGTACCAATTACTCCCCAGGTCTTGGTGCTAAGTTACTCAGAGGAAGGCAAGGAATTATTCCATGGATTCCTACCCGCCTTACCGAGAACACCCTCAGGCAATCACTCATACACTGGGGGGATCTGTTCTAGCTGTCTCCCCAACACAAATATGCACAATTCCCTGTGTCAGGAGTCACAGGAGATGGAAGCACCCACTTGTTTGAGCCAGTAGAGTGTTTTGCCCCCTCTGAAGGGTACCCATTCCATTAGACATGCACTCCACAGGCGTTATCCATTCAGGATGGCTCTGGGGTACACAGGACCAGTACACAGTAGCAGTGGGGAGAGGTCAGGAGAGAAATGAAGGGGAGAGAAAAAAACCAGATGAATTATAATCAAAATGACATGGAACTCACTTACTACAAGCTATCTATATGGATTTCTGCAAATCTTGGCTTTTGTCTTTTTCTCTCCAGGCCAATAGACACTTGGGCTTCAATTACAAGCTCAGGAGGGAACTTGATCTCACGACTCCTAAACTAACAATAATTGTAAAGTCTATTCTCTTTGGGAATCAGATTCTAGCTTCATATTAGCAAAACCTAAAGTTGAATCGGCCCTCTCTTCTCCAAGCTTAAACTTGATTCAATAGATTTCTGGGGAATTTTATCATTTATGCTAGTAAAAAGTTTAGGATCAGGAGAGTGAATTTAGGGACCTCATAGAATGTATTTGACCTTGTGGAATTGTGAGCAAAAGGGCCAATTTGCCTGAACCCACATAAAGCAGAGGTAAGAGACTCTTCTGTGTCTCTTGGTGGACAGCTAGTCACTGTTGCACATGCTACCCGAGTTCATCAGGAGGCGGGCACTGCTAATAGACTGGCATGTGGCATTCCTGTGTTCCCCTAAGCAGTACCTGGCTCCACGAAACTGCCCCGTGGGTGGCACTCATTCTTTGATGATTCATCCTGAGGCTCTCTATCCTATCAAAGGTAAGATTTTATTTGTGACTTTTGCTTCTACATTTGATGATCAGGGCATACATTAAGAGGGCTTGGCCTGAAGCAATATAAATTCCTGCACTGGGATTGTAAAACCTGAAGGGTGAGTATTTGTCAGAGAACATGAGAAACTCAGCTACGAAAGCGGAGATGGCAGGAAACTCCCAGGGTAATTGGTGGGACTATCAGAGAGGGTTTTCCTGATGGATCGTGGCTATGAAATAAAATTTTGAAAATGAGAATGGGAGGGATCAGGAAGCCAAGGAAGTATCTTTGAGGACATGCAAATCGTTCATTCACCAGAGACTGCTGTTCCTGGAACTGTCCGTCATCTGCTGGGTCCATACAAGCCAACTGGAATATTTCCTGGGGGGAGAGTGGACTCATCGAAGGGTATCCACTATGGCCACTCCTGAAAAGCAATGCCAAATTCAGAGATAATGTGTGCATGAGAGAGAGAAACCATCATGCCATTGCTGCCACTACTAATTCCCACCCAGACAAGACCTCCTTCCCAGCAAAGGTAACAGTCTTGAGCCTTGGATGGCTTGTAAGCCTGGTAACTTACAGTCGGCCGGCCCTAGAATAAAATATTAAAAAAAAAAAAAAAAGAGCATCAGAAAAGAGAAACCACTGTTTTCAACCTGCATGTGGAACCATTCATCATTCTGCTGGCGACTAGCATATCTGTGATAAATGACATCATTTGTCACACTCAGCCATATGGAAGCCCAATGCTTGACTGTAAACCTGTTTCTGCTCAGTTTCTCCATTCGGCAGAAAAATGCCGTAGTTGAAACAGTGAACAGTTTGTTTAAATATTAAGCAGTCGTGGTCTTTTAAAAAAATCTCCTCCACTCTCAGTAAGAATATGGTTTTATTGTGCCAACATCCCTGGCCAAACTCAACAATTCATTGCCATGAACATTTATTGAAGGACTACTCTGTGCCAGATACTGTGTCTGTTGGTTTCTGGACTAGGTGGAATGATTTCAGAGGTGGTGCTGTGGTGACAGCCTCTGGGATGATGGCTACGTATGAGGATGCTTAAATGGTGATGAGGTAAGAGGACAGGGACAAAGTTGGCCAAGTGTTTAGAGGCCTCTGGATGAAAGTATGGAGAGCCATCACAATATGCCTGTTAATAAACCACTGTTTGGTACCTGCAGACGCTCTCAGCCGATGGGATCCACTGGGTTAGTTAGGAGAAAAAGAAGCAGCCAATCTTTTCTGGGAATTTGGCTGTGGCTGCCATTCACTGCTGCTAGTACAGTAACAGTTATCTTTGACCTACTCAAGAATGCGGGTTATGGGGAGAGGGACAGCAGTCAGCGACTGGGCAGCAGCTCTCAGTGGTGGTGGAGCTAGGAGGGAGCGATGGGACATTGTCTCTTCCAGTGATAGTCTACTGCTGATGACCCTGAATCCAATGGAAAATCGGAGGCATGGGCAAGGATTGCCAGTTCCTTAATCCACAGGTACACTCTTACTTAGATTGGGATCACAAGGAAAGATCTGAATAGCAGAGAATCACCCAACCTGTCCCCTTGCTGCTGGTGAGGGCATTAGCTGAATTTTTACAACTGCTAGAAAGTGATCTGATGTTCAAATAACCTGCTTAATTGTCAGTCATCTTCCTCAGTGTGCCTTCTCCTGAGCACCACTGGGAACCAGATAAGCGCTGCTGTATATGAAATGGTCCCTTTCGTCTTACAGAAAATGAGCAATTGCAGAATTCCCAATAAGTAGAGAGGACCCTTGGAATCACAGAGTTGAATAATTTGAACTCAGAGTGACATCTTACTTTGAAAACCTTGTCTGACTTCTCAGTGTTGTTAGGATAGAGTCCAGAATCCTGAACATGCCCTCTCTTAGGATCTGGTTCCTACCTTGTCAGCCTCCTCTTGCGTGACTTTCCCCCTTGCTCCCTGAATTCCAGACACACTGGACTCTCTTAAGGCAGAAAGAAGCCTGGAATATTCAATAAACTAAGACTTGAACATAGGCTGTTCCCAAAGTGCAGAATGCTTCTCTCCTCCCCTGAAAACTCTTCCCATGCTATTTTGAATTCATCCTTCAAAATTCTTGTCAAAAGTTACTTCCTTAAGGAAATCTTCTCTGTTCTCTCCCCCCACCATAACTGGGCAGATCTCCCTCTCACATGCACTCAGATCGTACTGCCCATTTTGCTCCTGGCACTTATCAGAATTGTAATTAAATCATTGAAAATGACAAGTTTTCTTCTTTCCAATAATTCTCTTTCATGTCTGATTTTCCACCAGATGTAAGCTCTATGAGACAGGAGCCCTGTCATCATGTTTACCATGGTTCCCCAAGAGCAATCTCTCCTTGAATAATACAGGGTTCTAGAAACACAGATGGTCCTGAGGAACCAGGCTGCTGCTCCACCAGTGCCCCCATTTTGGGAAATGTACCACATCCACCCAAAGGCTCAAATCAGGAACCCAAGGGTAATTTTTGGGTCCTCCCTCTCCTTTACTCCATGTAGCAATTAACCTCCAAATCCTATTCATTCTATATATGAATTAGCTCTCAAATCTGACCTTCTCTCCCCATTTCTATCCTGTTAGCCCAAGCCACAGTCATCAATATTTTACACTACTAAACGGTGTTCTGTTGCTTGAGTTGCTCCCCTCCAATCCACTGAGTCCACACTAGATTCAAGAATGATCTTTGAAATTTGATCATGTCACTGACGTGTAAAACCCATTATCTTTGGATGAAATTGAACTTCTGTATTCTGCTTGTAATGCTCCTACCTCCTGGCCCCTCTGTAACTCTCCAAATCCTGCCACCTCCCTGAGCTCTCTGTGCTCCAACCATCTCTGCAGTTTTTAGGTTCCTTAAACTTTAACACATTTTCTCTTCTCTTGAAGAGCTTGCTTTTGAGTCTCACTTAAATGTTTTGTACTTCCTCAGGGAAGCCTCCCCAGATCTCAAACTAGGTGCGCTGCTTCCCTTACATGGCATCACAATAGCCTACCCGTCCGCATCTTAACCTTTATCACTCTTGCAATGTCTTTTTCAGATTTGTCTCCACAAGGACTTGTGATCATGCTGACTGCTGAAGCCCCAGTGCCTGAGCCAACTTTTGGGTCACATGGGCTGTCAATAAATATTGGTCAAATCAAGGAGTAAATCAATCAATAAACATGGCAGAGAAGCTGGACTGATCCTATGGTAGGAGTTAATGTGCAGCAAATTGCTGTGGATACAACAGATCTAGATGGAGGTGGGGTGTCCTCCATTTCTAAGCCAAAAACCTTTGAAAAACACTATAAACCCCTCTAAAGAGGTGGTCCCACTGCTCCTTGTTTTCTGTAGACAGCAGAATCTGTACCCTGCTACCTCATCACGTGGAATATTTGTAAAAATGACCGAACTCTGGACGTGACTCTGGTCCTTTTCTTTTCTTCCAAATGAGCTGGATTGAGACCTCTGAAAACAAGGATTTTTCAAAAATGGGCCTCCAACATCACAGGCAGAAAGAAATCAGTGGTGTGAGAGATTCCAAATGGTATTCTGACAGAGGTCTCATTCCCAAGCTCTGAATTTCACTCCCCAGATTACTGGAGTTGCGATACTTAGTGATTATTGGTTCCATGAGAACTAGCACTGGGTTAGACCTGACCACAAAAACTCATTTACCCTGGGTAGAGGGATTCATGCCCTTTGGGTACTCACTACATGCTTGCCGATGATAGAGAATGTTATAATGAGATGTGTATATCATCATAGATCATTTAGGACTAATGAGCAACTTAGGGCAAAGGCATGAAACTCAGAAGAATTGGCAAATTCCTTAATAAGGATTCTGTTTCTGCTTTCAATATAGAAAATTAAAAAAAAAAATGTTTTGTCACCAGTCTAAGGTTCCTTTTGTTCATTACAGATAACAATATAATGGGAAGACTCTGGACTTAGAAATAACTGGCTTAAATTCCAGTTCAACTTCCTACTCTCATATGGCTTTGGGCAACTTATTTAACCTCTTAGGCTTCAGTCTGGAAAGTGGTGACACTAACATACACCCCTCTTCCTTTGTCCATTCACAGTGCTCACTGTCTCTCGAGTTGGCCAAAGTACCAAACATGCTTAGTCTGCTTTTCTGTTACCCCTGCTGAATAACCATTTTAAGATACAAAATATTGTTTCTCGACCTCAGAGAGGAGCATTCAGCTCAGAGTCAGTATTATTTCTCAGGCACTTCTTGGCAATGGGTTTCCGCACTGAACAATGGCACGAGAGACAGGATGCAGGCAGGAGAGCAAGGACCCTTGGTTATACTCACAGGCCTGAGACGGGGTCCTGCTGGAGATAAGGCAGGGCTTTGGCATTAGCGATGATCTCCTGAGGCAGAGATGAGGGCTCCATGCGCTGGAACATGGGTGCGTTTTTCTGTGTTAAAAGTGGGAAGAAGAAAGGAACCCGAATGACTGTGGGGTCAGCTATAGGGGAAAATACAACATGCTTGAGCAAAACAGGAGCAGGACTGATACCCTGTTTGACCATTTTAACCCTTGACCCATTGGGTTCCTAATCCCACGATCCTAGAAAATTCTTGAACCCTGCACTCCTTACTTCTGATTCTAAGCCCTTGCGGGGCACCATGCCCGAGGGATGCACAGGCCTATCCCTACAGGGGCCCTCATGTGGCTCCTCATGGTCCACCCACCATGCTGTTGTTGACTTTCACCTGTTCCTCCAGCTGCTGCCTTTGCTTCTTCGCCTTACTCTGTTTATAGTAGTCCATGATCATCATTGCTGCATAGATTTTGCCCACAGTCAGGTCAGAGGCTAAAAACACAAATGTGGCATGGAAAGGAAGAGGGAGAAGACAGGTGGGAGAGAGTGAGGACACTTCTAAACCTTTGTTCTTCACTCTCTGAAGCAGGTTTGCCCCTTCAGCCACCCATCCCTCCAACGTTTATTGAGGGTTCCATATGTGCCAGGCACTGAGGATACAAAGTGAATAGGTCCCCATATGTATCCTCAGGGAGCCTCTATGGCCACCCAATGAGGGCAATGGTAAACAACACATTAGCAAGCATCCCCTCCCACTGGTCTAGACTTCCATCTCTAAGTTACACCACCTTTTTCCCAACTGCATGAGGGTTTGCTGAAAAGTATTACATGGAGGGAGAGAGCAATACACCCAAGAAGCTTCACCCACAACCACAGTGACCTATTTTAAGAAAATGTTTTCACTACAACTAGAAGGACCCACAACTAAAATATACAACTATATACTGGGGGGATTTGGGGAGAAAAAAAGCAGGAAGAAAAGAAAAAAAAAAAAGAAAATGTTTTCAATTAATAATGACAAAAGAGACTTAGGAAGTGAGAGATTTTAGTTTCCTAAGGATAAGAGAGCAGGCTTCCCTTATCTCCTTGATTGTCCTGTATTCCTCCAAAAGATGTGGCCTGGGCATGCTGGGGCCCCAGGGACAAACACACCCAGGAGGAGACCCCACACCTTTGGGCATGGGCACCAGCAGATCCAGCATCTTCTGGGACAGGTGAGGCCAAATGGCCAGGGTTTCCTTTTGTAGCTCTGCGTCTAGCTGCTGCCTGTCTGCACCACCTAGAGTAAGAAAAATTATTAATAAATAAAACAGAGCAGACACAGAAATAACAAGGACTGAGGGAGTGGGTGGGGGCAGCAGCTGAATCAGCATGGCGGCTCCCAGTCTCAGAGGAAATCTTGGCACTTAGTGACAGTGGATCTTGCCATACCAGGTCTTTCTGCTGAAGAAGCAGAACACATTTTGGCTCCCACTTCCAGTGACTCAGGGATATCCTGCTACAGAGATCTGAGGCCCCGAGCCCAGGATCAGCTTCCTAATTCATTCGAAAAGCTTCCCAGGTGCTCAGTTATCAGAGGGGAAAATGAAAGAGCCACAAGCGAGCCTCTCCTGCCTCATTATACGTACATCAATTCTTCCAGTGACTCTGACTCCACAGTCTGAGTGAACTGATTTAAAAAGGATTTGGATCAGGCAGGAGCAGGAAGGCTGGAGGTCCATCTGGAAGTAGTAAACCTTTTCTCTCCTACATCACTGAATTAGAACTCAAGAGGTGCAAAGAACTTCCATGAGAGCACCTGCCACAGACACCTTCCAGGACGTTAAAGATGCCACATAAGGAAAAAAGGACAAATTTAAAACTCATTTGTTCAATAAACAAGTATTTCTCAAATGCCTACTACGTGCCAGACACTGAAGATCACCTACTGTTAAGACCTTAGAAATAATCAAACGGTTCATTTCACCAGGAAGAAACAGCAAATCTTACAGTTATTGAATCAGAGGTGAAACTGGGACCCTACTATTTGATTTCCAGGTCACTACAGTGTTGGATGGAGGAAAGTTTAAACATCTCCGTCCTGCACCACCCTGAGTGAGTTGTTCCAGAACCTCTTCCTCCTTCCTAAGCTGACCTTTGGCAATTTTGATATCCAGAGCTGTCCGGATCAGAGCCATAAGTGTGGAGGTGAAGTGGACTGTCATGTCTTCAGCCACTGGCATGTTCATCAGGACCAACCTCTGTGTGGAAGAGAAAAAAGAAACAGCAGGAGGAAAAAAATATCGAAAGAAACCTTGGTGAGAAGGGAAGAAAGGTGCAGAGGTCAAATGCAGAGACAAAAAAGAAGGGCAAGGATTCCCCATCCTGTCCCATGCCTACTCTCGCTGCTCTCACTTAAGCTCATTTTCTGCTGATTTTTTTTTCCTAGGGAATGATGCCAAATTCCAAGGGAAGGGGGATTAATCATTCTGTAGGACTTCTCCATGGTCCTAAGAATGTCTTTAATAGGAATGGGAAGCGATTTTTAAACGAAGTGGCTCGGGGAAAGGAGTCAGCTCTGGGAGGTGCCTCCCTTCCCTGGTTCAAGGCTGCTCTATATTTCCACTTGTCCCATGAATACCCCCCAAACTCAGATGGAAAGATAGTGATGGGGGAGATTTTGCTTTGCTTATCTGACTTGAAAGATGCATCCTGATGCCCCCTTTTTGAGTCTTTAAAAGATGACATTTGCCAGCACATGATTGAACATGCATAAGTCAAACTTATCCAAAGAATGAGGTGGAGCAGGAGGGAAAAGGAAGAGAGTGCAAACAGGGTCTAGGGTAAGAAGGCCAGGGAGAGCAGAGAAGAGAGGATGAGAGCAGGGTGACCAAGGCAGGAGCAGAGTGGGCAGGCCTTGCTCCCTTCACCCAAAGGAAGGGAGCAAACTGAAATGGCCAAATCCACTTTCTAGAGAGTATCTTGCTTTTGGAATCCTTTAACTTTTCCTCCAATCCCCACTCCCCTCCTCCCACCAAGCTTCATCCTAGGAATTAAATGAACTCAGAGCCACATTCCACCACCTGGTACTTTTGGATGTGGCCATCATGAGCAAAAAGGATGCCAGCCCCTAAGCCGCACACAAGGAGCCATGTACTAGGGTGGATGAGGGTGCCTTGTGGGCCTCATTCCAATGAGATGCTCTCTGCGGCTACCCAACTTGGAGGTAGCAGCAGAAGGCCCTCTGGCAGAACCACCAGCCTAGCAGGGAGGGACACGTCTCTTTCCAAGGCAGGGTCTCCAACACTCCATTGGAACATCTCACCTAACGTGATTTCACAGACATGGTGTCTTAGAGCGTAAAGCCAGTTTCTTGTTTATATCTGAGTTCCATCTCTCTCCCACTTCTTTAAACTTCTAAAGAAGTGGCAACAGTGCTGTGGTGTATTCCTAGATGCATGAAAGAGCTCCAGAGTTCTGGGTCAGTCTAAACACCAAAAGGGAATTAACAGTAACTATTACTAATTATGGAGAAAAAACTCAGGCCCCAAAGCTATGAGCACCCTAACGGCAAGTGACTCCCAACGTACAATGCTGCTCTAAGCAACCATGGGGAATCCACCCATAACTTCAAGGCCTGGCCTCATAATTAGTCATGTTAATAAGGCAAATCTAATGCTGATGCAACTTGTGCCCACTGTCACCCTTTCCCTTGCACTCCCAAGAGAACCGGGCAGCTGGGCTAATGGGGGAAGGGAGCTGCATCCTTCATCATGTATCATGGGATAGAAGTCATGTTCCTCTTTTTTCTGATACCTAGAAGGAACCATGCCACAGTTCCTTCCCATGTCATGGAGGAAGAAATTTGTTAAGAGTTTTCCTCTCTCCTAAAAATTTCTTCTTGAAACATGTTTCGAGGAATTTCTGCATTATTTCCTTCGCTTATCTGGTTGGAGATGCTTCTTTTTTATATATATGCTCTGAGAGCTGCTTAGCTGTAGGCTTCCTTGTTGCCCATATATGCTATCCCACAGGCCACCACTCTGCCTCCTCTAAAACAAAACACGCTACTTAACACTTCCTCTCTAGCAACCCACTCGCAAGAAGCCACACACTTGTAGAAACACAGAATAACACATACAAAAGCCCACGCTGAAGAGCATTGCAAACCATCCCTTGTATCATTTCAGGACTTCATCTTCCTGGTTCTTCCTGACCCTGCCGTCTCATCATATCCTCCTTCCCTGGGTCCCTCCTCCACCTCCCCAGCCCAGCTTCCTCCCCGTGGCTGGATCCCATTTCCTGTTGGTCTCTAGCCCAGAACAAAGGAAGGGGTGGTCTACCTTATATGCCACTTTGGAGGGACATCTCTTGCCGAGGCCTAGCGGTGGTGACATGAGAGTCAGCATTTCATACATCTCAGTGTAATGGATGCGGCCACTGCTCATGGAGGGGTCGTAAGTGGGGATGGGGTGGGTTGGCAGGGCAGGGGGGGTGGCAGGGAAAGGAAAAGGACCAGGGGAGAAGGATGCAGACAGGAAGGAGAACAGGCATTCCCAGAGAGCCAAACGACACAGACAAACAAAATAGTACAGAAAACAGGAGAAGAAAAACAAAACAAAAGGGACAAACAGGAAAAGAATAGGAAACCTGTTAATCAAGGCAAACCATACACGCGACTCCATCTTGGCGCGGATTTATATCACGCCCCACACAGACCCGGGAAGGCCTACGGCAACCTTGGTGGTCCCTCTGACATCATGAGGACTCGTTTTCTCCTTCTGGATTAGCATCAGCCAACTTCCCGGTTCACGCCATCCGTGCCCCATAAAACAAAAGCTTGTTTTCAATTCCCAGGGCTGTGTGTGAGCGGTATAAACCGGATAGACGGTGCTCCAGCCGTGGGTTAGAATTTTTGGCCCTGGCTGGGATGGGGATGCCAGCCTGGAAGTCAGGCCTTTCTCTTCCTCTGAACCCACAGGCAGAACGCCGTGTATCCCCCTCTGTGGTGTGTGTGCAACAGGAGGCGGCGACTTGCACTGAGAGTGGCTGGCTGTGGCTGCTTGTCAGAGTCGGCCCGTTGCTTCCACCTGGCTCTGTGGAGAAGAGTGCTCTTTATGCCCCAGCATGCCCCAGGGCGATGGCATGCTAGGGACAGAAGAAACAAAACCAGGAGGAGGAAGAGCATCTTGCATGCCATGCTGCCCTCCCAGCTCTCCCCACATGCGGCTGCAGGTTTCACCAGGGCGGAGTTTAAAGAGTCTCAGCAGAGGCAGCTGTTCGGCCTCCCGCGTGTGGGAGTCACTTGTCACCATCCCAAGCCAGCTCCTTCCCATTGCCCAGGCTGGCATCTTCCTGGGCCTAAGTCTTCTTCCAGCTGCCTTGCTGTGCTACGCCCCAGGGAGCCCACGCTTCCCGCCTGCAGCACCAGGAGAAGCTTCCTTATCTAGTGGGCTTGGCCTCGGACGGCGGCTTGGCAGAGCCGCTGGGATGTTAGAGTTCCCGGGCTCTGGCAGAGTTGGAGAGGGAGGCCTTACATGCCCCGAACAATGTCCTCGGTCTCACAAACAAGCAGTGACTCGGCAGTTATGACAGAGCCCTCAGCCCCCTCAACAATATACGGCAGGACCCTAAGGCAAGAAATGTGCTCAGGAACACTCCATCATCCACCAAGACCCTCCCAGATCCTCTGAGCTATTGGATTCTTCCACACACCACCAACTCTATCCTCTTTCACCCCCTCTCAGCTCTTGCCCTAATCCTTTACCACTTCTCACCTCCTGTCTGTCCTACAGCTTTTACAATCGCTTGTGGCCAACCTACCCACGAGCTGGATGGTGGGCAGAGGTAAGGATGACTAGAACCACACTTTGCTACAATCCACATGGCGTGATGATGCTCTTTTGCTAATAGGAGGCTCTCTGTTTCCAGTGAAGGGAAACCACAACTCTCAGCTGGGTTAAAAAGATTTCTGTATTCTCTGGAGGAGGGAAGGCCCTCTGGTTAAATGTACAGATTAAGAAGGAGTGGGGAGAGAGACAGAGAGTGTGTGTGTGTGTGTGTGTGTGTATACACACATGAATGAGTGTGGACATGTGAAGAAAACTGAGAAAGTTCAAATTGACCTTCATTATTGAGTCCTTAACTCTTTTTTTCTGCCTTCCCCCCATAACGTGCCCTTCTTCCTTATGTAACAGCTGCTGGTTCTGGGAGGGTTTGGACCTCTTTAAACTCAAAGGAAAGCAACATGAAGGTTCCCTCATGTGGCGCAGTGGTGGTGGAGCAGAACGGAGAGGAAGGGTTCGAAGTTGTACCCCACCGCCGGTCATGGCTGGGGAGTGGCAGGCAAACCTTGCAGGCCACCCTGTAGGGGCAGTTTTCTCCCAGGCCCAGAGGCGGCGAGATCACCCGCACTAATTTGTACATATCCTTATACGGGATCCTGCCGCTGTAAAAGAAGCACAGGGGGTTAATAGGACACTCAGAGAAGGGTGAGAAAGAAATGACAGCTTAGCCAAGAAGGGGATGGCTAGAACAGGAAGAGCAGCTTCTTTCCTTGGGCTTGGCAAAGCCAGACCAGGAGAGATTGAGAACAGTAAACATTGGAGCACTAGCCCCTTGTGAACAGCACTGTCTCCAATTTTCTAAGGAAATCAGAGCCCGTCCAATGCCCAAAGGTACTGACTAGCAACCAAGATCACCCAAGATACCTATACCTGGCCAGATGCAGAAAATGGACCCTGGCTCAAGCTAGGCCTCTAAGAACAAAGCCTGTCAATTCACAGATGCCTCTGGCCGCCGTCAGGAGCAGGGGCCAGGCTGCCGTGAAGTGGACCACAGAACGTTTTGCTTTTCACAGACACTGATTACAGTCAGTTGCTCAGACCTGCCTGTCCAGGCAGGGGGAAGTCGGCATCTTTCTGCAGACCGGGAGAGACAAATTCCCCATTAGGCTAATTAGCAAGGAGCACAGTTGGCACAAGAGAACTTGCCAAGGGTTTTGCTTCTCTTTGTGGCAGATTTTTCCAGAGTTCAGCTTGGGCAAGCTCCGTTCTACTAGGTGGGAGCCTCCTGGGATCCGTGCTCAGAGAGCAGCCTGGGAGGGAGCCATGGCCATCCTCCTCCCAGCTCCGCTCCTGCCACCCAGCCCACAGGTGGCTTGGTGGGATCCAGTCAGAATTGTAGGAACAATATGACCTATCTCACCAACCCCTTTTCACATGAACCTGCTACAGAGTTCTGGCTTTCTGCGGAAAGGATGGAATCAACACATGATTCATTTTCAGTGGCTAAAACATCTGATCTGTCGGGGCCAGAACAAGGAAGCAATGGCTAGGGATCTGCAGATCTGGACAGATCCTGCTTTGAACCAGGGTTTCCACCAGAAACTATACACATTTTCATCTCGGAGCATCCAGGCCTCGCCGGCAGCCACGTCGAGACCAGGGCTCTGCCCCAGCTTCATTCTTTCTAGTCTTTTCTTGATTTGGGTGTTGATTCCTCCTCTTCTTCCAAATAGCAGCTCATCAGGACTTCCAAGTCTCTGGATTCTTGAGAGGAAGTTAATTTAACCATTTGTTCTTTTCTTTCTTATTGAGATTGGGATGTGGATGGGTTGGTACAGGCGACAGGCTGATGTTCTCTGCAACTGCATCAGTCTTCTTTGTGAAGACACTGGCTCGCTTTACTTTTGTTAGTTTTCTCCCCCCTCATCTCATAGACAAGGCCAATGAAACCCTAACCAGAACAAGTGATGCTGTGAATTTCAAGGCAGACAGAAGATGTTCTCCTTTTTCTCTTTGTTCTCTCATAGCTCAGGTATGTAAGTGTCGTGATGAGTCCTCATGGAATTGTTTCTTCCCAGCAGCTGGAATGAGTGCAGAGGAGCATGTTTATTGCACATGGTGTTTGGGTCCCAAGATAATATGAAACCACAGGAAGCGGGGGTTTCTGAGAGCCAAGGACAGCTGAGTGAGGCAGGCTAAGCAATGAACTCCTTTGCTAGCAGTTGGCTTCTCCTCTTTCAGGTGAATGAAGACATCCCTTCCTAGGGTCCCAACCCTATGGCCATTCATGCTTTACAGACCAATTTTCCATGCTTTCCAGTTGCATTGCTATATGGTTATTGTCAATTATAATTATTGTCAATTATAATGTTACATACATGATTTAATATAATCATCACAAGTAGCCTTCAAGGTGGGTAGGTATCATTATCACCATTTTTACAGATGGGGAAGCTCAGAGCAGTTAAGTGACTTGTCCAAGGCCACAGAGCTGCTAAGATGCAGGCCTGGCTGCATTCCCCTCTAACACACAGGCCATTGCTTTCTAAGCAGCCCATCTACTAGAAAGTAGGCCCAGAAAGAAAAAGCCATTACTTAGCCATTGTAATAGGAATGGACTTAGAGAACTCTATCTAACTCATTAATAATTGCTGAGGGGAAGAGGAATTCTGATTCGCTCTTCTAATCCCTACAGCAGTGACCCAAGTTCAACGGCCTCACAGGAGGATAGATTTTGGGAACGGCCTCAGATTATGAAGGGGTTCCAGGTGGAAGCAACATGGTCCATTCTCTGAAGGATGGCATTTAGTAGTATTTTCAGAGGGGACCGGAATGGATAGATTGGTGAGATAAGACCCTAAAGCTAAGATGACACGGGACAGAAAAGTTTCCGTGGAGTGAGTGCTCACAGAACCCTTACCCTGTCCTCAAATGTGAGGGCCAAAATGTTGCTTTTGTCCTCTAAAGCAGGGATCAGGAAACTTTTTCTGTAAGGGGTCAGACAGTAAATATTTTCAAATTTGAGAGTCACACCATCTCTGTCACAACTACTCAACTCTGCCTCACGATGTAAAAGCAGCCACTGACAATACATAAATGAGTGAGTGTGGCTGTGTTCCAGTAAAACTTTATTTGCAAAAATAGGCAGTGGGCCACAGTTAGCCCATGGGCTGTAGTTTGCCAGCCTCTGCTCTAAAGCCCAAAAGGGGCATCATCACTTGACATTGAAAGAGACCTAGGGAAGTTATCCCTGAAAATTCCTGCCATTTAATTCAGTTTCATGCAATAAAAATCCACAAGTATTTAAGGGATCAGTTGGAAAAACAAGTTGCTTGGCTTTTAATATAATTTCAGAGTTATCTGAAACTGTACTTTTTGTGGGGGTTGAGAGAGAGAAAACACTGACCACGATGACCAGATGTCCAGCTGGCCCAGAAAACCCTTGTCAACTCCCCTGATGGCTCAAAGAAGTCCACTGACCATTCGTAGGAAAAGAAGAAGAAAGGTTATTGGAAGCTCCTCTGGGGACTGAACCCAAATATTCAGAGTGAGGATTGTGTGATGAGATTGGCAAAGAAAGGGAAAAGCCTGTCACAGAAGGAAAGAGAGAGGAAAAGAAGATAAAGAAGCTAAGTCTTTGATGACTGGCTTGAAACTAGCATCAATCTGAGGACCCGGCCTCTTCCCTGGGCCACAACCAAGAGGAAACTCTTCTCCTTCTGTAACAGGCAAGCATTTGAGTGGCTCCAATTCCAACCTCTTCCTTCAGGCTTTTGATATGGACCCCACTGGGCTCGCTGAGAGGCCTACGCACCATGCAGCTCTGTCATATTCTGCCCAGACACGGACAAACTCGTCCAAGTGGTGAGGCCCCAGGATAGACGAATCCCGAGTCAGGTACTCAAAGTTGTCCATGATGACAGCCACAAACAGGTTGAGCATCTGAAGGGCAAACAGGAGAAGAGGAGTTAGGAGAAACCTAAAACAGAATTTTTTCTTTATTGCTTCGAGGCAAATAAAGAATTCCAAAGTTTGTAAGGCTGAAGTTCCTCACTAAAGCACTATTGATCTTGCTGAACACATTTTAATTATTTGTTCCACACACCTTATTGTGTGGGCATTATGATTTCACTTTCTATGCCACTTTATATTTGCAAGGTACTCCATGGTCACTTTTATTATCTGTTCAATTTAGTTAATTGTTATTGCAGCACCAGCAGCCACAACATTCTCAAAGCCAGAGGAAGGCAAGGCCTGGCACCAGCCTGCCCATACAGCCTCCCACCCGCACGCTTGCTCCACAAAAGGAGCCCGAAAGAGAAATGGTGAGATGTCGAGCTGACTGCATGGCTTACTGTGTGACAACTTGAAGCTGTTCCTGGCTCTTAAGTGGCTTCCAAGACCCTGTTCTCCTGCTCATTTGTTCAACATTTATTGTGCACCCACTGTGTTCCACACAGAGATCCAGGTGCTGGGGATGGGAGATAAGAAAGTTCTTGTCCAGAGATATATTCCCATGCCTAGCACCTTGCCTAAAGCACAGCAGACCGTCACTAAATGCTGATACTTGAATATCCTTAAAGACTGACTTAGTATTTAGTAGAGACTGTGACTTATTGGGAACATACAAATTGCTCTAAGAGCCATGAAAGAAGTGTAGACAGTTTACATTGGGAACAGAAAGGAGTATGAAGGCAATTTCTCCTGGCTGAAGAAAAAGTGTCTAAGAGGATTGATGCTTGAGCTGGGTCCTGAAAGACCAGGAACTGTTCACCAGACAGACATGGGCACAAAACCAGGTCTTTTAGGCAGAGGAGCCAGCACGAATGAGAGAGCACAGAGGTACTGAGAGATGGGGAACATTCAGTCAACCCTGAGGGCAGTGCAGCTGGGCCCAAGGGACAGAGCACAGAAGCGTCTTGTAAACCATGCTAAAGAGTCTAGACTAGGGCCAGCGAACTGGCCAGAGAGTAAGTATTTTAGGCTTTGTGGGCCATACAATCTCTCTTGCAACTATTCAGTTCTGCTCTTGTAGGGGGAAAGCAACCACAGACAATACGTGTGAGAATGAGCATGGCCGTGTTCCAATAACACTTTACTTATGGACACTGAGATCTGAATTTCATATCATTTTTACATCATGAAATATTATTCATCTTTTGATTTTTTCTCTCAACCCATTAAAGAACGTAAAAACCATTGCTAACCCATGGACCAAACAACAACAGGTGACAAACTGGATTCAGCCCGTGGGCTATAGTTTGCCTGCCTCTGAGCTAGACGATGCAGGAGGCAACGGGAACCACTAGAGGGGTTTATACTCAGAGAGAAACCAAGGGATGTTATTATTCAGAAAGAGCCCCAGGCTGCCACATGGAGGGTGAGTGGGAGAGCAGCGGGAGAGTGTTGGGGTGCTCCTGAACCAAGCCAGTGGCAGGACAGTAGCACAGACAGGAGTAGACAGTTAAAGGCAGTAGACTCGACAGGACTTGATGACCACAGTGAACAGCATTGTTGTTTCTTGGTTATCCAGCACCATTTACTGTATTTTTGGTCTCTCAGGGACCCGCCCCTTGCCTATTCCCATTAAAATGGTTCAGCGGGGCAACACCTGTGACCAGGCCTCGGCCAGGCATTGAATCCCAATTCCATGGGCCACAGTGATTGGGGATCCAATCAAGGGCAACAAAATGGCATTGAAACTTCTGGGCAAAAGACTTGTCCTTCCCTGTGGGTCTTGAATGCATGAGGACTGAGGCTTAGAGCTCCTGCTACAGCCATCTTGGAGCTACAGGGTGGGGGTGTTTGAGAAAAGAGCTCACATGGGGGAGGCTGGGGGAAGAGATTAGAAATAAAGCAGTCTGGTTCTGGTGATGTCACGTGAGCCTCAGATCAAGCTTGCTTAAGCCTGTCCTGTCCCGGGACTCTTCATTTACATGAGCCTATAAAATCCCTTTTCGCTTAGGCCAGATGTAGCTAGGATTTCTGTTGCTTGCAAGTGAAAGAGTTCTGCCTGATAGAGAACAACTGGCTATTGCTGATTCCCAGGTTAAGTGGCTGGGTAGAGGGAAGTGCCAGATACACAGACAGGATAAGGAGACAGTCTGCAGGGAGGACCTGGTCGGAGTCTTCTCTGCAATACAGAGAGACTGCTGGCTGCATCCTAATAACCAGTTTCCTTTCTTCCTTCCTCCCTCCATCTCGCTTCCTAGGATACAAGTGCCTAGAAGTCTAGCCATCCTCTGTCCGCCTACCATGAGGATGAAGGACGCTCCCTGGAGATGATGGAGCAGACAGAGGGAAGGAGTCTAGGGCACTAACCCCTCTGTGGAGCCTCTAGAATAAGCTTGCACTGCCTTCCTCCAGATTTCTCCAATGTGCCCGGGGAATAAACACCCCTCTTGGTTAAGCTACTGTTGTCCAGGAAGTTCTGTCTCATGCGGCTGAACCTAATCCTAACATAGGCCTTTCTTTCTGTTGCTGAGAGTGGAGCCACAGTGAGTTTATTCAATCACTCCTTGGGGTATAATGGGTTTTCCCTGTATCCACACATTTCTTTTACGCTGTTTTCACAGTACAGTACCTATTATTAATGTTAACAAAAACTATTAGTATTAACGCTGCTTTACATTTGCATAGTCCTTTATAGTGTGGGGTGTGCATTCACACCTACCATTTGTTTTAACGCTGCTCTAACCTTGTGAAGCAGATTTAATTACCACCCGCGCTTCAAGGACACAAGCACTGCCTCTATACATTTGTATTCTTAGCTCTAAGCACACGGCCTGACCCATCACAGTGCATCAGTAAATCTTTCTAGAGTAGTGGGTTTGAGTTGAGAAGCTGTGTGACTTGCCCAAGGTCACAAAGTCAATCTCGCATAGGGCTGAGATTTGAAAGCAGATGATCTGATACTGAATATAGCCTCTTTAAAAATATCATTAATGTGAATTATGCAGTACCCTCCATCTAAGATTCTAAAAGTACCTTTATAGTCTTTAATTAATTTTCCAGTTATATCTTTGGTTTCTTTTAAATATTTATTATTAAACATTTAAACCATGTAGGATACAACTTAGATGTCTGCCTGCCCTTCTATACACTCCATTTCACCCCACCAACTAACACTGATACCCCTGTATGTCCTTCCTCCTTCCACTAAAGGTGATGGGGGGAGACCATGCCTTGCTGGCAGCTTTACTCCAGTGCCTAGCTCAGTGCAAGCCTTTTTTTTTTTTTTTTTTTAAAGATTTTATTTTTTTCCTGTTTCTCCCCAAAGCCCCCCGGTACATAGTTGTATATTCTTCGTTGTGGGTCCTTCTAGTTGTGGCATGTGGGACGCCGCCTCAGCGTGGTTTGATGAGCAGTGCCATGTCCGCGCCCAGGATTCGAACCAACGAAACACTGGGCCGCCTGCAGCGGAGCGCGTGAACTTAACCACTCGGCCACGGGGCCAGCCCCCTCAGTGCAAGCCTTTTAATAGCCACTCAATAAAAATGTGCTGAATATGTGAATGAATAAATGTAAAACTCTAATAGCATCATTCAAAATTTTCTTTCAGTTATTTTCATTATACTTCCATAATTTGTAAATAGGATACTATTTCGTGTTCTTTTTTCACTGAAAAACCTTTCACACCGATGAGAAAGAAGCGTATTAAAATACTGTATGAGCTCACCATGCAAATAATACTCTCATTATCAAGTCATTTTTCTTCCCATTTTACAGAAACTACAAAAGGGAAGAGATCTTGGCCAAGTGCAGAATAGCAACAAAGCCAACAGCACAATGTGGGCTACCCAGCGTCCAGTTAGTTTACTCCCTGTTACATTAACCTGCTGACCACACAGTCTATGTGCAAGCCACTTCCCCACACCTGAGAGCTGGACATGTGGCAAGTCCCCTTGGGGTCACCTTAAAGAGGTCAAAACACCTGGACCCGAGAGCACTTTTTTCATTAATTCACTTTTTGATGCACAACCATGAAACTGACCACTTTTCAGTGGCATAGCTTTAGTTTTAGATTTTTGTACAGCCAGTGGCATTAGCAGCAAAGCTGAGCCAAGGGATGTCAGGGTGGCCAGACACCAGACTGACCCTTTTATTGATTTGGTAGCACCTCAGGCGTTATTCTGTTTATCACTGCTTGTCTGATTGGCAGGGTAGAGATTTCTGGATGCTGGTGTGCTGATTCATACTTTCTCCCAAAGATAGAATTAAGAAGGCACCTAGAGCTTCTCACAACTTTATAAGTGGGTGTATTCCACATATATTACCCAATTAATATTTACTAATGCCCAAAGCAATCATCTTTTCACGTCTATGCAGCTAGCTAACTGTCATTGAACATAAAGACATCACAGGTCAGGAGAGAACCACGCCTTTACATTGTAGACTGTCGTTATTCTACTCTTGTTAAAAGTCTCCAAAAGAGACATAAGATATTCTTAGCCCTTCTTATAAGACAAAATACCTGAGGTACAGAAGAGAAAGAATTTACTCTGGGTTACAACAGATACAACATGAAGCTTAATGTTGTATTCACCAAACTCTACTCTACTCGTCATTTCTTCTCACAACAATCCTTCTCGAGAAGCAGCAGACTTCTCAACCGTGGAGAGTCACCCACCCAGGAGTCTGATATGCACTCTGGCCTCCAAGAGTTCTCTGGAGAAGGACCTGCTCCTTAACTTGGGCTGGAGCGTGTGTGCGAACATAAGTTCAACGCAACATCTCTTATCTATTTATCAGAGGGGCAGGCCACACCCCAAGCCAAGAGCACAATGTTGCTCACCAAGAAGGAGCAGAAGAAGATGAAAGAGACAAAGTAAACGTAGGCAAGATCAGTGCCGCAACGCTCATTCTCGTTCTGCCCTGAGGGTGCGGTGGTGTCCGGCTCACAGCCTTTCTCCCCGAGGCACGACAGCATGATCTCCTGCCAGGCCTCACCTGTGGCACTCCTGAGCCCAAAAGACAGAGTGGTTAGTAGTCCAGGTCGGGTGTCCTATCCTCTCCGTGGCCCTCTTGCCCAATCCACTCACCCCTCTCTCTGCCCTCATCCCAACAGGTTCTCTTTGTGCTCAGTTAGCCTCCCTCTAGTGCTTTCCATCCAAAGACGGCGAGCACCAAGGAGGTCTCTCTTGGGTTCTGCCACCTCAACCACTGCTTCTCTGTCTTTTGAGGAGTCTCTGCTGACAGCGGTGGAGACAGTGGTGGGACTGTCTAAGACCCCACGTAAACCTGGCCATCCCAGGTTTCAGCCCCTAAATGGAATTTGGTCTGCAAGAAACTGTGCTGGCCTTCCCCCTCTCAGAGACTGAAGTTGCAATTTTCAAATTATCTACTGAATTAAAGATGTTAAAGTTTTCTAATGTCATCAGAGCAGTTTTTCAGAGACATTGCCCACCCTGCCACCCGCCCCCACTCCACCTTATATCCTGATAGGAGCAGAGCAGGCAGAACAAAGAGACAAAGCAAAACAGGAGGAAGAGGCAGACCAGCTCTGTCTCCCTGGGCAGGAGAGCTCCAGCTATGACAGTCACGCATCCAGTACCTGAAGAGTAACATGAGCGACCCAAAGAAACTCCGGAAGTTGTTGTGCCGGTTGATGTGACTCTCCTCATCTAATTTTATGTTTCCAAATACCTTGAGGAAAGAACAACAGAAAGTAACGAGCATTACTGAGCTGTGTGATGTGGACAGCACATGGATATTAGATGCACCTGCAGGGTTGGCAAACCTGCATGCATGGCTCCTCCTGACAGCCTCACCCTGAAGCATATAACTCAGATCCAGGGGGGTTGGTGGACCCCATGCTCTTGGCTGAAATGCAGAGTAATGATATTCTCCAGTGCAGCAAAGAGGACGAATGCTAGCAAGGACCACAGAAGGCAAGATCTTTTGAAGTCATTCTGCCTGAATGTAGTTCCTCCCACACCTAATTAGGTCTTCTTATTTCCATGGTACCTGTCACCATGGTACTCACCATAGTACTCAAGCAGTGTGTCAAAGACATTACCCGATCACAGGAGTGCAGGGAAGGAGCCGCCCCTCTACTCCTGTCTCAGGCAGGAATGATGGCCACATACGTATTTGCAGAAGATGTGATCTAGGGCTTGGGCAGATGCTGCCCTGGAATCTGCAAGCAGTGTAGGTCAGAGAAGGGCATCTCTGTCTCCCTTGGATATGTTCCTATTCAGAGTGAAATCTCAGAAGGTTGATACGTCTACAACACAGAGTCCGTGAGAATGAACACACACAAAACAAAGTCCAGGCCAATAGGATACAGAAAGTCAGGACAAGTGCATACTTAGAAAAAGAAAAAGGATTTGGGCAGATATGACTATAAAGCGAAGTTTTCTAATCTGCTGTTGCCCGCTGGGCTTAGAACGCAGTCACCATACAAATTCATGTGGAAAAAGAGGGACAACTCAGAGATCTTTATCCACGGACAGTGAATAATGATGAACAGTGCTGCCTGGAGCCAAGCTCGACCCTAAGTCTCTTGGATGAGAAGGGAGCCCCAACACATACACTTTTCTCCCCATCCATGTTTGCAGATAACAGGATCTATTCCCACAAGGCAATGTTCGTACAACTGAAGGCTTACAGGTCACTTTTCCAGCCATTTGAAACAATTTTCAGCCTACATGTAACATGCTTTAGTTTATCTAATATATGCTAAACAGAACACATTTTTCCCCTAACAGTTTTTAGAATGTGCAATTGAGGGACAATCTCTGCCCCCAGCTATTTTGCTCAAATAACTCCCACTGACACCTGCTTGGGGAATTTGTTCTCAACACTGTTTTTCAAAACCCAAATACTACTTGTCTCTTAGGGAGAATGGAGGTGGCAAGCTAGGCAGGGCTGGGGAAGAAAGGAACGAAAAAGATGAGAAGCTAGTGGCCCCCAACAGGCAAATAGTAGTACTGAAAACATCCCAAATAATCAAATCTAGTTCTGGACACCCCAGGAGGAAACTGTCACATATCCTTGCCTATATTTACATCTCCCTCTCTCTTTCCACCCTCTTGGTTCAGAATCCATGATTTACCCTGATTCATCACATAAACACAACTCACAGTGTTTTTGCTCCCTATGACACTCCTGAAGCCATCATTAGTTGTCTTCATTATGATTTTCTCAAACCCTTTATCCAATTGTGAACTAGTCGGAGGACACGCTGTGATTTTGCATGAGGCATATGTGTAACAGTCAAAGAAACCAAAGCTGTTTTGAATCTACACTAAGATAATTTTCAAGCCAAAACTGTATATTTACTGCGAAGGTGGTCTTTAAGATTTTTCCACTTTTTTTAAAGCTTTTCACTTAATCCTTGTCACTAATGCAAGTCTCCGCATCAAAAGGTATGGAAGAGAAAGAAGGGATGCAGAGACCCATCAGAAAACTTAACGAAAGTATAGTCTTAAATCCATTTTCACTTGGAATCACAGAACTTTAGAACTAGAAAGGACCTGTGAAGCCATCTATCCAACTGCTCTACTGTACTGGTGAGGGTGTTAAGGCCCAGAGAGGTTCAGTAACTTGACCAAGTTTACACAGCTGGTCATTGGTGGAGATGAGGCTGAAAACCTCATCTCCTAATGGCCTGTGGCCCCAGGGCTCCTTCCCCAACTCAGCAAGTTACTCCTTCCTTCCATCTTCAGATTCCTCTGCAAAGCGCTCTTCTTCCAAAGAGCCTTTGAAAGTTTAGAATAACGGTTCTTCCCATAGATACATCCTGTTGCTATTTAAATCCTCCTAACGCTTGTCTCCTGCCCTTTCGTGTCTTTCTCTTTGTATGGATCCCTCTGCTTTGTCCTGATTATACGAGATGCAGTCTCTCCAGTCACAAGCTAGGTGTCCACTTTGTGATGGTGCAGGCTCTCTGTCACAGACCAGGATGAGGACGGCCAGCTAAAGGCAAGTCACAGTGGGAATGCCACTCATGTCTCCGTGGAATGGAAATAGTGCTCTTATTTGTTGGAAAGAAGTCTAAGGGCAATAAAAGGCATTACAGTTATTGCAAAGATCACAGTTTCATGACTGAACAGCTCCCACTTCCCACTAAAGGGTTAAAGAAATATTAGTATTTGCTTATTGGTGGGAGGAGAGACAATACAGAGAACATATAGTACCGTAAGAATATGGGCTGTGGAGGAGACAGAGCTGGGTTCAAATCTCGGCTCTCCCACCTACTATCTGAGACCTGAGCATCTTAAAGTTACTTAACCAAGCTAAGCATCAATGGAGACAAGGAAATGCACCCATAAACATTCTTACATCACTCCTGAATACATTAGTCATATATATCTTGAGTGTTTGGATGTATTTTACACGTGTATATATATATACATATGTATATATACATATATATGTATGTGTGTGTGTGTGTAGAGAGAGAGAGAGAGAAAGGAGAGAAGAGGGGAAGTGGGGAAGGAGGGGTTAAGAACATCCATTTAGCGCAGTGTCCGGCATACCCAGGAATTCAAGTAATGGTAAATAGCATTATCATCATGATCAGTAGTAAGAGTAGCAGGTTCGTATTGGAGATGGTGTTATTCTAGTTTATTTTGCTTGAAGACGAAAAGGGGCTAAGGACTATCTTAAGCAAGGGCAAAAAAGAACTTAATTTAGTCAAGTTTCACTTGGCTGTTCAAGAACATTTTAATTCTAAAATCAAATATTTTAGTTAGAAGGAACTTAATAGAAGAAACCAAGCTAACCTTAAACTTCAGCAGGTTCTGCTTACAACACACCCCTAACATCGTCCTTAAATCTCTACCAAAATATCCTCAGTGAAAGAGAACTCATTACTTCTCAAACTAGTCTCATCCTTTTTGATAGTTGACATTCTATTGTATTTTTGGAGAATAAAACTCTCCCGTAACGGGGTTAGAAGACGAAGAAAATTAAGAAGCGCAGGCAAGAAAGAGGAACAAAAAGAAGAGACAGTTCAGAGATGCTCTGGAAAGGGCTACTGACGCATCAAGCCCTGGAGATGCGTGCAGCGGCTGCAGATGGCAGGCACCACTGAGAAGACAGCTGGCAGTCCAGGGGCGGCCAGCCTGCCTGACTGCAGGAGACTGCCACTTGGCTTCAGTTCTCTGCTGGGGGATGGTCTCCACATCTCAAGTCAGAAGACTAGCCTCCCTGAGACAAGCAGCAAGCCTGTGTATCTGGCTGGATGGGTTGCTTACAGTGGAGTCCGCCTATCGCAAGTGGCAGTCACCTTAGAAAGATCTTTTGGCTTCTTCGGCTCAGTGGGCCTCTGGCCACCTGCATAAATACCTGGGGTAGAACCTGATCCACTTCTCAGTTCCAAAACTGGAAAGGACATGGTAACCCAAGAGAACCGTCCAGTAATCTGTGTGGCCTTTTGAGCGGAATTAACTGGAATGTGGCCCTTGGGTCTCCCTAGGATTTGGCCAGGAACTCTACAAATCATTCCCAGTGGTGGGGCTTAGAGCATAAAACTCATTCAGGAGTGAACTCAGACAAATTTTGCGTTGCTGTGTACAGGAAAAGAACCATCTAACCTTCTTTGAGGCTTATCTCAAATATGAGAGATCCTGAGCAATGGATCCTCATGAGCCTCACCCCCTCCTTGGTCTCATGGGGGATCCCTCTGGCTAAGAACAATGGTGTCATCTTTCCCGTGGTTCTGCTGTTGTGCCCACAGAAGTCCAGCTGCTTCTAAGTCAGCACCATGACCTGACCACCTCAGGGTTCTGGTACAAGCCCCTGTATCAGGCCGCCCTGAATACCTGGGCAACCTGAGTGGGGAACCCCGCACATGTGACATTTCCAAGGTTACATTCCAACAAAATCTCGGGAGCATGCTCCTGGGCAAGAAGGGGTTCTTTAAAGCACCCTCAATTTTGTATGCTCAGGCTGGCAAGCCAGAGACAATCTGGGCAACAACTGCCCCCACCAGGCCCCTGACGCACCAGCTCACCTGCATCCCAATGATGGCGTAGATGAAGAAAAGCATGGCAATCAAAAGGCAGACGTAGGGCAGGGCCTAGAAGACAAGCAGAGATATGATGGTGAACTCGAAGGCAGGCAGTTCCCATGCTCAACAACCTGCAGTCGCTGGCAGTACAGGAACTCTTGCCCTGAGGCTGCCTTAAACAGAGGGCTGGGACTCTCTATTCCCTGGGGCTGTTCTGTTTTGGGGTGCCACTTTTGTGAGATGCCCATGTCCTCTGACAGACATGTAAGCTGTTGGCCACAGAGAGGCTTGTAATTTACCTTCTGTCAAGAATATTCCTTCCCCCAGAAGTGTGGCCCAGATCTCCAAGGAGAGCGGGGAAACTTTCTGGGCTTGGGATTCATCCCACTTTGCATGCAGAATATTAATAACCTGGTCAGTTGTGATGCAAATGACATAGTGAGCATCTAGCTTTGGCTCCCAAAACCCTGTATTACCCCTTCCTACTCCCTCACTCAGTGGGAAGCCCACAAAGAAGAATCAGGAAGCAAAGTGAAATGGCTTGGGTTTCAGTTGTTTGTTGGTTCCTGGAAGGCTCCTTCATCCTCTGATGAAACATCTTTTTCCAATGTTTAAGCCACCTGACATTTCATTCTGTGTCATGCAAAATTCCAAAAAGCCTTTTAAGTGTTAGCCACCACAAATTCTGCCACAAAGCCATGAAACCAAAAATTCCATACTGTGCAAGCTTACTGCCACTTTGGGATGATAACATTTCAATTGTCATCATGGGGTAAAGGGAGCAAGCGAAGGAGATGTAAGGCAGGGTACCGCCCTCAGTGGCGGGGGGAGGATGTAGACACAGGGCAGTTCGGTCTGGGGCCAGGGTGGGCACTATAATTCTGGGGTGATCTTAGTGCTGACATGGAAGTCTCCCTTCTTTACCATCCAGTGGGCTCCCTGGAAGACAGTGCAACTACGAGTCTCTACTCCATCTTGAGGGTGTCCAGCACGAATCCCGGGAGATCAATTGAAGGCTTTCAGACTGCATGAGGATGGGAGAGCTTATCAACGCAGCTAACTAAATGAGGAGCCCTGGGAGCCTTTTACAACTTGAATAAAGGATAAAATTAAAATGCAACTGAAAGTTGGTGGGAGAATCCCCTCTCCAATGAAGTGCGGATTCCCAAGATCTGTGAAGAGGAAAGGCTGCGTTTGGAGGGGCCGTGTGCAGACTCCCTCTGCTGAAAGGACAGAGTAGGGAGGCAGGCTTCCTGCCACTGGGGGCTGCCACCTTCTATCACCTTCTCTGTTTACTTCCTGCCCTTGTCCTACCTTCTCCACTCTAACGTCTCCAGTCCCTGGTTCATCTCTCTCTACCCCCAGCTTTGGGGAAAGGACCAAAGATTCATTTTTCTTATCATATTATAAATTCTAACTCAAAATAAGGGAAAAGAGGGAAGAACTGAGTAGGGGCAGTGGAGAAGTAGGTGATGCTCAGGGATGGGTCGAGGGTGCGTACAGGCCACGGCGATGCTGTTTCTAGTGAGTGGCTCTCTGCTGTGTATTTGCAGAGGCGGCCTTTCTTAAGCTGACTTTAAGAAAACATCTTCTACACTGTGTTCCAGAAAGGAAACACCTGTCCATCACAGTGTCACCTGGAGGCAGATTCATCTGTTTTCACCATGCTCTGTGCATTCACTGGAATAAGCCAACCATTTGGCCATTAATTTTTGACAAGCTTTTCTTTGCCCTCAATAGCATACAATTTTACAGAGAATAGGTGATCGTGATAATATGACAGGCTGAGACGTATTTCTTAAGAGACTCACAAACAACTGTAGCTTGTTGGGCAGGCGTCTAAAAAAGGGTTTAAGAACATCTTGTGTTTCAAATTCTAAATCCAAATTCACCTGGGACTCAGATGGCAAATTCTTGCGAAAGTTTTAGATTTCTCTTCTGCCATTTACCTTTGCAAAAATAGTTTTCATTGAGGTAAGTCCTTTGTGGGAGTTATCACACCAAACAATTACTCTGGATATGATAAAAATGTCAAGGTTGATCGTAGGAGCCGCACAGCCTTACAGCTGGTCTCACATCTCAAACCCCCGGGGCCGTGATAGAGAAGTAGGTTAGCAATGATGGTGTGGGGGGGACTCCCTTCTCAAATGATGAGAAACCATGAAGTCACTGGACTGCCTTCTTTAGTTCCATTTGTAATTGAAACATGCAAATAATTAAAGAAGACAAATTTAGTGAATTCACGATTTCTCCTCTTTGAATCAATGTCCTCAAATTTACTTTTAAAACACATTCATTGAAAACCTCATTTTTTTAATAAGAGGAAAATAATAGGCATTTGGACAGCACTTAGGCCCTCAAAACCTTAAAAACAAATTAATTATGATATTTGCCAGAGCCTGAAGATATTTCAATCTGTTTGGAAAACTTCTTTTACTGGAAATCTCTGTCATTAAAGTGGTCTCACGCATTGATTTTTAGCTTATTATTATATATTACACATACATCTCTGTACGGCCCCGTGAGACCATTTAAAAGCAGCTCACCACATTAACCTTGCCCAGACATCCTCTTAGTTTGTAGGACACAGAGGTGACCATTAGCATGCCATACATTCAGTGGTTCCGGAAGTACACACTGATGAAGACATGGGTGCAACTAATATGAATTGTCTTGCTGTAAAACACAACTCAAGGAGTCCTCTGAAAAGCTGTTATGTGAAATAAAGCCACGGATAAGTCCCTGAAAATGCAGAGGATGTGTGACTACAGGTGGCTGGCTCTATACATGGACAGGATTGCTGAGGGGATTTTGGAATTCCTAGGGAGGGAGTACACCTCATTGAACAAGTCCTCTGCCTCAGGGGACCCAGAAGATAACTGAGTGATAACAAAGGTGAAGTGTTTTTCCAGAATGGGATTCTATCCAGTTAGACATAAGCTGCCTGCAGCCTGGCTGAGCCGTGCTATACCTAATGCTTCTGACAAACACCCATTGCCAGAGGTGGGGGCCTTGTGTCATGACGTCATGTAGCCTGGCTGTGATATGACAGGGCCACCTCAGCTCTCAGAGATGAGGAGCCAGTGCCTCTTACCTTAAAGGACTGGACGAAGGTCCAAAGTAAAATACGGATGGTGTAGCCCTGACGCAGAAGCTTGATGAGGCGGGCGGCTCGGAAGAGCTTCAGAAAGCTCATATTGAAGCCACTGGTGTTCACCAGCTGGTGGACCAAAAGGAAACATATAATTAGGGACATTATGGTCATTTAGAGAATCTAAGCACTAGTATTTGCGTATTTATGCCTCATTCAGATCATAAAATTGGACATGGATTCTGTCTTTCATTTTTAACCCCATCTCCAGCTGATGGGCCAGTGAGGACCAGCTCTCCAAGCCTTCCCAGGCCTGACCTCTATTCACAGGTGGAAGGGTATGGAAGTAGCCCAGAAGGGTGGCTTGAACATATTAGATAAAACTGGCCTCCCTAGTCTGCTATAAGTGGTCCTAACTCTGCAATTACATGCCAAAGAGCAGACCTAATAATCCCTCTAGCACATGTTCCATGAGAGTTACAATGAGCTCTCCAAGCGTTCTTTAGGATGCACAATTTTAGGGAAACAATTCAGATCTAACAACTTTGAGGGCAAAGATACTGTGCCTCTTTTGTATCTCCCAAAGACTCTAGCAGAACACTGTGTGTGCATGCCAGGCCCCTTCTGGTACCCTCTGTTCCATTTATCCCATTAGATGGCTGCCATTTGAGTTATTCACATGGAACAAAGCCTTCCATGAGATCCAGCACCACTCCAATGTTTGCATTTTCTGGCTAATGCTCAGGAGGGAGGAAGTGAACTCCTAACACTCAGAGGGCTAGACATTTGGTTTGGGGAGTTAAAAAGAGACTCAATGTGCAAAGGACTTTTTTAATGCTAGTCCAGGGCCAAACTTAAAGACAAGGATCGAGGAGCCATTCACCTTGCTGTCTGTCAGAATAATTTCTGTGATGCTTCCGATCACGGTGATGAAGTCAAAGATATTCCAGGTGTCTCGGAAATAGTTCTGCCAAGTGAATTCAGTCATGGGAGCATCAGAAAGAGGAGGAAAAGAGAACAAGAAAGAAAATAGAAAAAAGACATCTTTCATTACATAATTTTGCCGCTTGGAATTAAAACTTGTCAATTCATGTAGAAATTCATTCTAACTTTGGTTTTACTTTCCTATTTCTAACCAGAAATGCTATTTCTCCTTAACTAATTTGGGAATTTCCCATTTGGGAGGCAGTTTCATGACTATTTGAAGACCTTGTTTTTGAAGCTGTCACCAAAAAGCTCCTATGTAAGAAAGAGATTTGTGGCCAAGACTATAAGGACCAGAAAAGAATGATCATCATTGTCCCCCACAAGACAGTAAAATTACTTACAATATTATTTTAAGGTTTCTGCAACTATAACTTTTAAATTATCTATATCATATCATGTGAGTATAATAAGTATACTATAGGTATACTATAAGATAACCAATAAGTATACAGTTCTGACTTTCAATCAACAAATGTTACAGAGCTGTCCTAAATGACTAAAAATCACAGATGGGCCAAAACTCTCCTTCCAACTCCATTGAACCTTTTCAAACCAACTGCTGATTAGCAGTAGAATGAATAGACTTCATCTTTTCCCTTTTTTCCGCTCTGTAACACCTTTCAAGGAGGTGTAACTAAATAAAACATAAGGAGGCAATCATAAAATGAGTGAGTTGAAGGAGAGAGAGGAGAAATAAAGGACCCAGGAAATGCACCAACCAAACAACACTCCACCTAAGAGAGAGGGGGGTGCTCCCATCTCCAGGGCTCAGGTGAACACAGACCTTGGACTATAGTCTTCAAAGAAACAGGACACTTGGGTTTCTAAGAACTGAGCCCCTTTGTCCTTGGGCAGCACCTGCCATAAGAGACTCTCAGAACGCTGGAGAAGTACACCCTCTCCCATCCTCACCACTGGCGTCAGTGAATCCTTACTATATGTGCCAGATACTGGGCCAGGTCCTTGACATTCTTTCAGTTCATTTATTCCTCCCATGGATCCTCTAGGTAGGTAGTGATAAATACCCTATTTTAAGAAAATATTGAGTGGTAGGGTTGGAAGGAGAAGTGGGGAGAGATGTACAATAGAGAGAGAAAAGGAGTCATGGGGAGAGAGAAGCTACATTTAATGAGCACCTACTCAAGACTAGGTTCCTTGGGTACATTACCTACTTGGATACACACAACAAAGTATCTAGGGCTATAAGGTAGTGATTGTTATCTTTATTTATGAGAGAGAAAACTGAGACTTTGAGAGTACTGTCTGATTCCAAAGCCACAGGCACCTGCCAGGCATGTAGAGAAACTGAGGCACACAGCTTCACAAACTCACTTTCTGTTAAGGACACCTACTCCTTCAGGAGGGAGGCCAAGACAAGTCTCTAAGTTCCTCAGTTCTCAGGGGTCTCCTTTTCCCAACCTGGGGTGAGCTTCCTAATTCCTGGATAGGCTCCCACAGAGTAGAGAGAAGACAAACCTAGGTCTCAGAGGACAGAAGCCCTGGATTCCAGCTGAGGCTGCTTTACAACACAGTATAGCATAGAATAGGAGAGTGCAGTATAGGTGGGTAGATTATAGTGGACAGAGTGTGGGCTTCAAAGTTGGCCGGACCAGGATCTGAACCCTGGCCCTGCCTTTTACTAACCTTGAGCAAAGTGTTGAATCTTCCTGAGCCCTAGCTCATCCAGAAAAGAAGCAAAAAATAATGCTAATCTAATTGAGCTGTTATAAACCTAAAATGAATAATACGTTAAGCATTTGGTATTTAATAGACAACCAACGCATGTTAATTCTCTCCCTCTTTCTTTTTCCTTCTTTCCTTTTTTATTCCTATTCCACTTTGCAATTCTACTGCCTTTTATTGTGAAATCTTGAAAATGCTATGCAATTATTCTGAACTTCAATTTCCTCATTTAAATCAACAACAGTCATAATAATGATAATGATGGTATCTGCCATTCCTATTTCAGAGTCATTGAGATCTGACAAAATAGTATATATTAGGGTACTCTGAAAACCCTGAGTGTTACATCAATGTAAGGACTCATTTGGGACTAGTAGTGCCTTTTATAGTGTGAAAATGCCTCTAGACCTTGTATGAAAATATGGGAGTGAGGGTGGGAAGGAGGCAGGCTTTGGGGCCGAATCATCTAGTTAAGCTTGTAAGTATGTATTCAGCATTCACCATAATTAGACACATAATTGGGGATTTGAGTCACAGACAATGTCAATACCACATGCAAGTAATCAAGACGCATAGAAGAATTCTCCCTGTTGTGGCTCTGGCCTCTCGCTCACCCTGCTCAGGGCTAGACTGTGTTATAAAGTCATCTTTGCTGGTGGTAGTTTCTTTTTATTTTTTTACTCCCCAAGTCTCAAAACACTCAAAAGGGAGTCAAGCAAACAACAACACAGCCGCCTGCAATGGGTTCCCTTCAACTCTCCTCCCCAAACCATCAAATTAATGACTTTTCAAAGAACCACTAGGAGACCAAAGCAACCCTTACAATCAACACTCACAATTACCAAGCCCGGAGTCCCTGTTAAAGCTGCTACCAGACAAACCCTTAAGCAGATAATAAGCAAAGTTTCTCTTCTTGCAGGGAAAGTCACATACACACATAATTTGAAATGGTAGCTCACACACGAAATAAGTGTGAAACAGCTGTCAAGTGGGTTTTATCTGCATCCCACTGATCTCACTGTAAATGCTGAAGCAAGGTGGGAGCTGGCAGAGAGGATTATTTTGTTTATAGGACACTGAAGCAAAAGGCCAGGTTTGCTTAACACTCCTGAGAGCAGACGCAAGATTTTACAAAACAATTATAATTACTTGGGGAGAAGTAAAAAAAAGGAGCCTTGCCAGAAAAACTCATCCCAGCCCTTCCCAAACCTGATTCCAGAATACCCCCCACCTTTTCTCTCTCACCCATATACACACACACATTAATGGTCGTGAACCTTTGCAAGTTTAAGTAATAAAGATTTATTTTTGTTGGCAGAAATTACTCTTCATGCAACTAATGGGAGGAGGACAGTTAAGTAAAAATCTATTCTCTGCTATGTTTAAGGCTAACAGGGACAGATATATTCCCATCTGAGTTATAAAATTTTATACCTTTTCCCGGTAAATAAGCACTCAAGGTTTATTAGTTTAATCCTTGTTTTGTTCCTTATCGACATAGAAATCGCAGTTCTAGTAAGACCCAGTGACTGTCACCCCTCGATCACTGACAGAATCTGACAGGACCAGAGCTGATGGCTGGATGAGTATGGAGCTGGGGATCTGGTTTCCTTTGCCCTTTCTCCTAACACCCTCACACATCATCTTGTCTCTATGGCAATTTATTGAGCAGTCGATGTGAGCCCACCATTAGGTGGGCAGGAGTGTGAACCATTTCTGGAATGGCGGTAAGCACCTTCCTTCCAACAAAGGCTGGGAATGCACCTAAAAGGAAGGGAAGACAAGCGTGATGCTGGGATAGATTCCGTGACATACCAAGAAGCCAAACGCAATGATCTTTAGGACACATTCCAGGGAAAACACCATGGTGAAGGCGATGTTCAGGTACTTCAGGGCCAGTTCATAGGTACAGGGAGCAGAGTAGTACTGCCAGGAAGAGAAAAGAGGAGAGAAAGAATCAAACCCGTACGGTGAGAGGGGTATTCTGTGTCACCGAGACTGGCCATCTCTCATCCCTGCCCTTGGGGGACACCCTAGTGTGTGGTGTAGGAGGAGAGATGGGCATTGAGTGCTGGAGAGAACTACGTATCCTGCATAGCAGAACAAAACAAAAAATAGGAAAACACAAACTATGCCCCACTTAGGCTACTTATTAGCCAAACACCCTGTCTTCCTAGAGATGAAGGTGGGCAGGCAGACACATTTTCTGGAGTTAATTACTTTACCATTTAGTACTAAATAAGATCAAACCTCTTCCAGCACTCCTTTGGAACCCCATGATCATCTGTATCTCTGCACATTTCCAGCCTTGTCTAGATCTGAATGCCCTCACCACCCTTGGTCTTGGGATTTACTGGACTGCTATTATACGTTTCACTGCATTTTTCCCAAAAGACCCAGAGGCTGGGCTGCTGAGCGAGACAAGATCAAAAAGAGATTCCACAATGGAAAAGTAGGTAAGGAGGCAACAGACTGGTAAGTTGGAGTATTTCTGCAGTGTCTGGGGTGCACACACAACTGATCTGTGAGGGAACAGTCACTGAGGTTCAGCTCGTCTGAGCACCGCCACCCTCTCACCTTCATCATCAGCACGATGGTGTTCAAGGCGATCATGGCCATGATGGTGTACTCAAAGGATGGGGACACCACAAAGTGCCAGACACGGTACTGGAAGGTGTGCCTGTTCTGCGGCATGTAGCGGGTGAGGGGTTTGGCACTGATGGCGAAGTCGATACATGCCCTCTGTAGGAAAGTCATGGTTATTAGTGCAAGCTCAAATTCCCTAAACCTTGCACATTGGTGGCTCTCTGTTAGATGGTTAGAAGAAGAGGACTATATGAAAAAAAGGGTAGGGCTGGACAAGCAGAAGTAAAAATGGCACCAGGGATTATCTGGACAAAACTATAGGTGAGATGTCACTCTAGAGGAACACAGAACTGGAAGGGTTCTGTCACATGGGGTAAGGACTTAACGGTCATTGATAATGTCCTTTTTCATGGCCTGAGGCTGAGATGTTTAGGGAGGAAGCCTTATCTGATGCCTTTAGTCAGAAGTAGAAATTTCCCTATGCATTCTTATAGCACATTATTTGCATTTCTCTTATAGACTCTAACAGTTTCTAGTTCAGTTCTCTTACAAAAATAATGAACCCTACAATGTGCCAGAACTTTGCTTGCTGCTAGAAAAGCAGTAACCAGCAAGCCATATTCCCTGCCCTTACCTCAAATACATGTCACAGACGGACACAGCCAGGTAAGCAGATGTCTTAATGCTGTAATTTTGGCACACTCCTTTTACCCCCATTTCTAGACTATGCACTGCATAAAGGTAGGGATTGCATCTTAAACTCTTTACGTATCTTCCAGGTCCCTGTGCCTCACCCACGTGCCTTAAACAGAGCCGATGCTCAAAAAGCGTTTATTTAATGACAGAATAAATAATTTTTCCCATCTTCTCTCTGCAATTCCTAGTGAGGTTAAGAAAATTCAGTCTTCCTTCCTAACACTGCTGTCCGAGAGTCCTTTCTGGAACCCCTGAGCCCCACACTCTAGACCACTGGTTTTTACCTCATTCTTCTCCAGGCTGCACTCCTCCATCATCTTGTCACCTTGCTCCTGGAAGGTGATGATAATGAGAGCCACAAAGATATTGACAAAGAAGAAAGGGAAGACTACAAAATAGACCACGTAAAAGATGGACATCTCCATGCGGTTGCTGCGGCTTGGGCCTCGGTCTTCCTCTGTCACATCAACAGAATGTTGCAAAACTCTGTGGGGACAGAATGATGGGGCATGGATGGTGGATGGCAACCTGGGCAGCTGCTCTGACTCAAAGCGTCATTTGGATGTGTGCCACCAATTATATTTTCTTATCTGACCTCCTTATCTTTGCAGAGCCAGTATTAATTTGGGGGGTCCATATTAACCGAGTTGGTGACGATTCAGGGACACCCAATCGCTGCTCTTCCTAGCCCCTCTTCCATCATGCACTCAACTTCTAAGCAACAGAGTGACATTATTTTATAGTTAAGGCTGTCAAAGTCAATACCAAGAGACTCCTGGATTTCCATTTGGCATTTTGCTGCCAACTAGAGTATGCTGCCACCAGAAAGTGGTATCTTAGTAATTGCCAAGTCTCTGTAAAATCAGCCTTCAGCTATGGGCAGCATAAGAAATTGCATTCTGTTGTCATCTTTAAAAGAGGTGTGTTCACAGAAAGTGTCTCTGGGTTCTTCCAGCTCATTCTGAACCCTCAATCCTCATGTGCAGAGCCAACTTGGAGGACAAATCTGTTTAACATGGCCCCAGGGACTCTCCCAAGGAGTTCAAAACTCATTTGTTCTATGAAGTCTGATAGCTCCACTCAACTCTTCAATAATTGGCTAAACATGAAGAGTTTCAACATTTCCCTGACTGTCATCTCCTTCTCAATTTTTGCCTTAAGGCTTTTCATTCTTCCTCTCTTCTGCCTCCCTCACCCACTCATCACCACTTACTTTACCCGGTACAATAACAAAGGGTTAGCCTCATTCATCGTGAATCAGCTTCTCAAGGCAACCACGTGGTCCTCTTCTAGCTCACAGACAAGCATGCCAACTCAAACTCATCACTCACTGAGGCCATCCTTCCCCCGTGGAGACAGTGAAGAGGGTCAGCAGGGCCCAGATAATGTTGTCATAGTGGAACTCATGGCGCTTCCATTCTCGGCCTTTGACCTCCATCTTGTTTTTCTCATGATCTACATAGTTGCCTCTAAAACCAGAATAGAAATGAAATAGGGCCTCTTCACTATAGCTCATGGAAGATTAAGGAAATTCTATGGACTTCAATAATGTAGGGTAGTAATGATCAGCATATGAATGCAAGGAAGAAGGAATTTTATTGAAGGCAGTGAATTATCATGGAATAAAAATGAGATTTGGTGCCCAATAGACATGGAAGATTAAATCCTAATCCTTTCACTAGTTGCTGTCTGACCTCGAACAACTTACTTAAGTTTTCTGAGCCTTAGCTTCCACATCTATAATATGCAACAAAATCTGTCTCAAAAGGTCATTATAAAGATTTAAAATTAGAAACTGGATGTAAAATACCAAGTACCATGTCTGACACAAAAGTGGTGCTCAATAAAAATTTAGCAACCTATTTTGCATTTTTCCTAAAAGAGGAATGGAGACGGATAAGAGAGAAAGAGCAGACTTATCTATAGAGGGTCAAGTGGGCCTCATCGGAACACCCTTTGGCAGAAAGTGAGTGGTCTGTGCTGGCGGCACTTACATGCACTCTTTCTCGGTGTCCTTGGAACTGTCCGTGCAATAAAAGAACTTTCCCTTGAAAAGCTGAACTGCGATGACAGCAAAGATGAACATGAAGAGCTTGTAGACGATGAGGATGTTGAAGACGTTTTTCAAGGAGGTCACCACACAGTCGAACACAGCCTGTGGACAGAAGTAAGGAGCCCTGGGCTGTGAGTCCCTGGAATGGCCTGTGCATTTGCCTAGAGCCGAGTTAGGGCCACACCACCACCCGCCAGCCCCACTGAGAAGGTGCTCCAGGAAATATCGCCCTACTAAAAAGTGACACTCATGGGGTTCAGAGCCGGCTTCCAAGCTGGTCACGACTACAAGGACCAACCCCTGGGAAGGGAACACATGCCCTGAATCTGAAAGTAAACCCAAAGCAGAAGAGACCAGATGGCATCGGTCAATAGAGGGAGTCCTCTGAGGAATCCCATTAGGTGTACTCCACTTAGCGTGAAGCGCAGAAATTTAGTGCAGAAAGGGATCTCTGAGATCATGAAATAGCTTGTCCCTGACCTTACATCTATTTGGTGACATTCTTAGATTTGATTTATATACTGAATATATATTGTTTTCTCTTTACCTTTCTAAATGGACCAGAGAGTAATAATAAACTATCATCTCTGTTCATTTTAATGATAATTTGTAATAAGTTCATATAGTTGTCCCAATTATATTCGACACTTCACATAAATGTTCTCCAGCTTACAGCTGGCTGTGTTGGGGATGCAGATTCAACAGATGATGTGGGAAGAGACCGACAGCTGCCCTCTCGTAGAGATGGGAGGATGCGGCAGACAGCATCAGGGACTTGGACTTCCATTAAAGGCAATGGATCTGCCTCTGGAGAATCCATTCTAGGCCCTAAGCCGTGAGGAGTTACATGGGAATTTGACACATTTCAAGCCATTTTTAGGTTATTTTCTAGGTTTTTAGGTTTGGCTCACTGGAGAGTCTAGCCTCATGGTGGCGCCACATTTGTGCGGTTCGCTGTTCCCAACACTGGTGAACATTGCTGGCTTAATTAGTTCAACACTGCGGGGAATGTGAGTGACACGCAGCCTTGTGGAAGCATCACAGCCACCTACACTTCCCTCAGGTTACGGAGCTGCAGAGAGCAAGAGGAACCAGCACTTCCTAATTAAATGGAATTAACGGAGATTGTGGTCACCTTCCCCAGCCTGTTAACTAATCTCATCACGCCATCTGCACTCTCCTCAGGACCCCAACACAGCTCGGAGGAGATGACACAACTGGAACCTGGGCTGCAGCTTATGGCAGTGGTTAGGGCCCCAGGCCTCCCAGCCCAATTCTGTTGGGGGTAGGGCAGAAAGGAATGAATATTTATGGGCACTGACCCAGGCCAGACCCTGTGCTGGGCCCATTACCAGGCGGGAGGGTGGTAATGAACAGTGTGTGAAAGACTGCCCGACACTGTGGGAGGTGCCTCCCCCAGGAAGGAAGGCAGGGCAGTGAAGGAGGAGAGCGGGCAGGGAGGACACTTCCTTTGGAGCAGGAGTATCTCTCCTGGGGAATCCATGCAGGCGGGCCAGGGCCCTGGGCTCTCAGAGGAAGCCACATCTCAGTCAGTTTGGGGCTTTTCAGAAATGACTTTCCTTCAGTCCCAAGCCTTTGATAAAACCCAACTGGTTTTACCACCTCTCTGCAGAGCCAGAGGGCCGAAAGGGAAGCATGTCCTGAGGCCAGTATGGGGTGGTGATGGAGGGGCATGGAATATCAATATTATAAGAACTCAGTGGGAAAGGGGAATTGGAAAGTGAGGGGGAGTTGAGGTCATAAGACCCCTCCCCCAGCTTTGTCCTCAGTGGCTGGCTTAGGAGATCAGGCCCAGGCAATCTAGAGGGATTGCTGGGTTTTCTTACAGGGACCACCTGCATCAGCTTATTTTGTCCATATCACAAATGTGTCATTACAAAGTATCTCCATTTTCCAGTTCAAAGAAAGTCAAAGAAAAAGTAATTTGCTCTGGGTCGGCTCCTAAGTGCTAGAGCTGAGCCTGGCACTCAAATAGGTTCCTTTCCACGTGGACAGGGGTTATCAAGACACATTCCAAGCCCTGCCCCTAGAATCTGGCTCTGTTGCTCTGCGTGGGCCCAGGAATCTGCACTTCAAGAAGCATCAGGTGACTCTGATGCAGGTGGCCTGTGACCCACTCTTTGAGGAGCACTGCACTAGTCTCTGACTGTGCAGACAGGTAATTCAACCTGCTTCCTGGGAAGCTTGCTGGCGTAGCCCCTGAAGGCTGGGTTTAGGCCTGGTGTTGCAGCTTGCTTGGCTGGGCAGCAGCAGGGGCACTTCAGGGCTGTGAACCGGGAGCCCTGGTCCTCTCCTGAGTGGCAACTGGCTGTCATTCACAGGAACTCAGGGAGGAAGAATTCTTCTCCCATGAGGCTTCAGCTTCTGCAGCAGCAACGTAAGTGTGTGAGGGAGGCAGGATTCCCAGGCTAGCAGACTCAATGACTCAATGGTAAAGCAGACCCTGAGGGCAAGAAGGCTCAGGGAAGGAGCCTGGGGGTGGGGGGGCGTTGAGCATGGCGGCACTGGTCAGGGAGCAGGAGAACCATGATAATGTACCTATGAAAGTGCAGCTTCTGGCAACAGGAAGAACTTAATTAATGATAGCTCACTTCCCCATTTCTTCTCTGCTTCTGCCAAAAATGACTCTGCATCCTTGGGCAAGTTATGGGCCTATCTGTGCCTCAAAAATATGAAGGGTCAGGGCTAGAAAATCCTTTGCTTCTCTAGAATTATGAGGAAAGAAACCATTCCAGGTTACTTGGCCTGACCCAGTGTGCAGACCACAACACAGACAGACGGCCCCTGAGGCTTCCATTTTGGTGTTCTGGGGCCACCTTAAAGACACAGGAGGCTCCAGGACAAAGGCAGAGAGGCCTCTTCCTGGATGACATGCCACAACCAAAGTGTATAAAATACCACCTGGCTCTGGACTCAAGAAGCAAAAGCCCCCTTATAGATTTCTTGGGATATTGGTTATTTTCCTTTGAAACTAAGACCCTTAGCTCAGGCAGATGCAAAGAACCTCAGACCCTGTGTGAGCAAAAAGAATATTCCCAGAAACAATTCTCCAAAAGCAAGTCAACCAAGGCTACAGAGAGAGGATGGAAGGAGATTTGATGGGAAGAAACTTGGCAAATGTTACCTTAAGCTTGGGCAAGCGCTTGATGGTCTTCAGTGGCCTCAGAACTCGGAGCACCCGCAAAGACTTGATGGTCTTGATGTCCCGCCCCTTGTTGGTTCTGCAGGGGAGAGGCCCCCAGGGAATCACAGGACAGGGGAGAAATAAAAGCGACATTCACACTACTGCATTACCAGCAACAGGGTAAAGGGGGAGCAAGGTATCCAAGAGGCCAGAAATTGGGTCAGAGTAGACTCCTTCAGGGAGACCCCACAAAACATGCACTGAGAAAACTTTCAAATCGCTCCTTGGTGTGCGCACACTCATATGCACACACACCCACGCATGCACACCCACACTCACGTACATCACACAGTGGAAGACAGTGGAACAGGCACACATGCACACACAGAGGCATCCATGCACATCTGTTAATAAAGACTTCCTCCCCCTAATGCCAGAGTAATGCTGCTCATCACCACACTGGCAAACTGAAAATGGAAGACAAATCAACTAGGGAACAGGACTGGTCACCCACTTCGGACCCTCACTGTGCCTAATCTAGTGCTTCAGTAGCAGGCTCTCAAATGATACTTGTTGAATTGAGAGTAAGTCTCATCAGGGGACCTGACCTAGCCCTTTCCTCAGCTCTAGGGTTGTCAGCTCTGCACAGTTCATTAGTTCAGAGGAGAACAGGCTGAGGAAGGGTGGTGGGGACACGACACCCTTGTTGTGCTGGGCTGCCTGCTCTGGAGAAAGCATGTCATGCAGGCTCCTTGCCAGGACCTTGGCTCAAACCCCAGTGATCTCTGTGTGGCTGGGTCTTTCCACAGTCCCTCCTCGTTTCAGGCACTGTGCACCTAGCGCAAGCTGCAGGGAGCCACACAGCTGGAGAAGACCCACATCGCTGTCCCTGCCCCTTCATCCTTGCCCTATGGCTAGTAACTCTCCCTGCTCAGCTTCCAGGAAATGTTTGCCCCTAATAGATAAAAGACATTTCCCTTTTTATTTTTAGGAATGAAATGAATAAATCAACCTGCATTTCTCTCTCCACCCTGCTCATCCCCTGAGATCTCTGCATTCAATTCAAACAATTGCAATTTGTAAAACACGCAGATGGTAGGAAATGAGACTCTAACCGTGAGCTCAGGCTCTGGTTCCTGCCTCACGTTGGCCCAGATTACCATTACACCAACAATCGGAGGAAACAGGATCCAGAACATCAGATGGAACTACATGGGCTTCTGCCCGCTTTTTACCTGTCCTTTCTGTCACACCCACCCCCCAGGAAGGAGAGCAAAGTCCATCAATTCTTTCATACAAGGCAAGATAGGAAGACCTTTAATATAATTCGAGGAATGCTGACATTGCCTAGAACATGAATTTTAAGACCGTCTTAATGGTCATGGCCTACAAGTCACTTTTATTCAACTCTAGATCTGAATATAGATAATCCAAAAGTATCCCATTGATATGGCCTTTCGTATCCACAGGCTTTGTAGATTTTACAAATTCTTTTACTATATTAGGCTCATCTATCTACCTATCTAAAAAGGCAACATATAAGCCAAATACATACCCAAACCAGTAAGAATGATCACTTCCCAAAGAGGCTTGGCGACTCCTAATTTTTGTTCTCTTGGATATCAGTGAAAATTCACTGTTCCTATCAACTCACCACTCCTTTCTCAATGAGCCAGCTCCTTCCCTCCCAACCATACTTCTCCCTCCTCCAACCCACACCCACCCTGTAGTTTTTACTTAAAGAAAACAGAAGAAAATATTTACCCCAAAGCGTTCCTATGGAGGATCCAAGGCAGAAAGCAGTGGCGGGGGGCGGGGGGGGAGTGAAGAGAAATAAAAGTCAGAAAACTTCAGGGAGGAGAGAGAACCTCACACCACGAGAGAAAACGGAGAAGCCTGGGCCCAGGGGATGCTGTTTACAGCCTTGGCACTTGCGGAGTCCACACACTTTGTGAAAGGAAGGGCCAGCACGCCATTTGCTCCACATTCCCCTCTCCAACCTGCCAAGGCCCTTTGCAAGCGCCAGTGGAGCTGCCTCTAACTAGATGGTACTCCCCATCTTGTACTTTATTCCATGGAACCTAGTTTAACGGAAGGTTTCTAAATGTAGGCTTTTCCTTCCATTTCCTTAGTAGTCTTCAGACAAACTCTTTCTACTTCCAGTGAATTTATAAGAAACCAGGCTAGGAGAATCATGCCTGCTCAGGGCCAGAAAATGTCTCTTGGAAAGGCGTTTCAAGTCATAGTGGCATATTTATGCTTATGAAGGATTTCCTCTGAAGAGGGACACACAATCAGTCTGAGAGAGCTACTCTGACATCTCTCAAAAGTGCAGATGAGCAACACCATAAAACCTTCTCGAAGTATGAGAGATGCATTGTCAATCAAGGTCCTCATGTCACATAAAGGGATGCCTTTTGATAAATTAAATGACCAACTGTCCATCATCAGCTATTTATAGTGCAGCTTGGAGAAAAATCATCCCAGCTCTATCGGTGAGGCTTAACAACGAGAACAAAAAAGGGCAAGGGCATGAATATAAAATATTTGAGATAGAAATAATGAGAGCTAACTTTTTAAATATTTATTCTTGGTAGGACTCTGTGCTAAGCACTTTCAGTGAACCTTTTTTTTGGACCTCCTAATAACATTAGGATGTAGGTATTACTATCGCCACTTTGCAGATAACATTCAGAGAGGTTAAGTGAGTGCCCAGTGTTAGCAAGTCAAGCTGGGACTTGAACCCAAGTCTGTATGATGCTTGGAGCTCTTGCTCTGAGCCATTAAGCCTCTGCTCCAGTAGGTTTTGGTTCCAGGCTCTGTCAAACAGCTCACCGAATTCTAGAGCTGGAAAAGATCCCTGAAATCCACTTGGCTGCAAAGGAAACTGCAGCCCCAGGAAGATGTGCCTGCGTCAGATCACTCGATGAGTGAGCCACAGTGCCTTGGGTGAACTGGCCTGCTGCTATGAAGAAGTGCCTAGAATTCAGGCTATGGTTCTTAGTTGCTGGTTGCTGTGAAGGTACTTTTCCCAAATTTTTTCACTGCACCACAAACCTATGTTATACCACCATATGCCACAAGCAAAGACTTCTAATGACCATTTTACTAAGTAAATGATCCCATATTCAAAACTATATTAATGTTCGCTGTAAATGCCAAATGAATGGTGATTTGGGAATTAAACCCAAGGCCTTATAAACTTTAAATGCCTCCTGTGATAATCTGTAAATGTGCAGAGGGCAGAGATAACATCTTCCCCTCAGTTATAATGGTGTCTTCTCATGCACGAGACTGGCACAGGGTAGGTCAGCCAAACACACCCTTATGCATTCATATAACAGCACTGATGGAGTCCTTGATGTATGTCTGGCACTCTTCTAGGTGCTGGACACACAGTTGCGACCAAAACAAATGAGGTCCCTAACTTCTTAAAACTTACCTAGGCTAGCAGGGAAGGCCTCAAGTCAACAAGGAATAAATGAAAACATAAATTGCAAGCTAAATGCCATGGGGAAAATGGGATCATTGGATTAAAAGTTTTACCGAAACAACTACATAGGTCACCCTCTTTTCCCCAGGCTACATTCATCTTGAGAAAAAGCTAAGGGAGAATCTTCCGTATCCCTAAAATGAGAGAGCAAAGGGAGATCAACGGATGGGCAGGTGGCCCAGGGTCACACACTCCAGGGTTCCGCATTTCCTTTAGCCCAAGTCCTTAACCCTGAGAACTTTATGTCCAGTAGCACCTGAATGAGTTCTCAAAGGTTCATACTCATTGACACCCATCCTATGAAGGAAGGCTCAATAATTCTTGCTCCTCCTAAACCCTAGATAAAGGACAGAATTTGCTCTCTACAATTAATTTTGCCCCAGAATCATAGTATAAAATATCATGCTGTGGAACAAAGGGGATCTCTGACCAGTGTGTGTGTGTGTGTGTCTGTGTGTGTGTCCCTTGTTGTGGAAAATGGGGTTCCTTGATGGTACACTCTGCTCTTAACAGCTGATTGTAGCTGCCAAGGTGCTGTAAGGGGGTGCTACTTGTCCCATTCTGACTGCCACAAATTTGAGCCAGGGATAGTAATCAGACACAGGCCAAAAGTAAAATAAAGATTAGTCATTGCTCTGCACAACTTTCCAACAGTTCTCTTATTGCAGATGAGCCACTGAAAAGCTATGATTTTGAGTGGTTGCAGAAAAGCACGTTTGTATTCTCAGTTTTGTTAATATATGTTCAGCACTAATTTGAAAATTATCATTTGAAATGAAAGGAATACAGGATAACAAAGCCACAGAGGCAGGACAAGTCTCAACAATTCAGCCCCCATTAATTAAAATATGTCATAATTTACACATGGGCTGGGCCAAACTACCTTTCCCAAATCCATGAAATAAGAGTTATTCAAGCCATTATCAAAGTCAACAAGATTGCAAGGAGGATGTTTTTATCGAACTAAGAGGACAAACTCTTCAAGCACTTTAATTGCGGCACATTGTTTTAGAAATAATTTCTATGCTTTTCACAAATCATTTAAATATAATCATTTGATAACACTTTGCTAGTCTTTGCTACTAAATGTATACTCAGAATTTTTTTTACACTGCTTAGCTAATTAGTGAAATTTTACCAGGTTTAAAAATTGACTGTAATGTCAACATTTGAGGATAATTTCACATGCTAGGATGTGCTGGTCCCACTTTAATTGGGACTCAATTGGGCCACTCATTTTACCATTTATTTCCTACTTATTTGGTACATTCCTCACTGCTCTCCAGAAAAAAAATGCCACATTTCTCTTATGTCTCATCAGTAAAAGATGAGAATTTTCCAGCTCAACTGTCAAGTTGCCCTCCAGATCTTTCATGTGTTATCACTCATCATTCACTGTAATCTTGCTCTTCAGTTTCCTGGTCCCCCTCTTCTCAAAGGACATGCTCTCAAATTGGTTTCTGCTAGGAACTGACTCTCCTTCCAAGGTGGGCAGGGCAGGGACACCAGGTTCTGAAGAATCCTTCCTCCTTGAAGTGGAATGGCCCTCTGCCCTCCCTCACGAGCCCAGGAGGGAAGAGCACAAGGATTTGAAGGCATCTCTTGGAAGGGGAATGGACACACTTGCTGGAGTGTAAGGATAGAGGAGGGGTCATGCTATGAGGAGCCTTGAGCCTTGCTAAAATGTCTAGACTATTATTTGGTAGGCAATAACAACTACTGTTTATTATGCATTTACTAAGTGTTTGGCACTATAGTGGACACTGAATATATTTTACCTTATTTAATTCTCACAAGACCAAAATACAGTTTTTTTAAAATTTCTACTTACAGATGAACAAGTAGAGTCTCAGAGATTTAAGGCAGCTAATAATTAGTAGTGCTGGGATTCAGACCTAAGCTTACCTGACTCTGAAACCTATGCTCTTATTTACGATGTTACAGTGCCTTTTCATACGGGAACCACTGGAGGGTTTTAACCAGAGAAGGGAACAGCAAAAGAAGCCAGTAGTTCCTGAACTCAAATAGTGAGCTCTCTATCCCAGTATCCTTGATCAGCCTAGGGTCTGCAAGGGCTCATGGGAGGAAACAGGTACAGATGGAACAGCAAGATGGACAAGGACAGGGATGCCTTTTTCCATCTGGCCCACAGGTCTACAGGCTGGGGAGAGACCCATACCAAGCTACCACTTTGAGTTTACACAGGTTAATGGCTCAGAACTAACCAGAACATCAGAGGTGGAAGAAAGCTTGATGTATTGGAGAAAGCCCTGAACTAGAAATCAAAAATATCAGTTGTTTAAGAACTGGCTTTGGGGCTTACTATTCAAATGAGTCAAACTAGTCAAGCTTCAGACAATCCATTTCTCAACGGTAAAACAGGACTATCAAATGATAAATTAAGTAAAGAGTGTGAAAGCTCTTTAAAAATTCTAAAGACCCATGGAAATGAGGCAGAAGTTTCCTCCTTTGCCTTGGCAATGCTTGTCTCTTGAGAGTGAACTCTTTAGGACCTGTTGGTAAGGCTAGTTCATCTGTTTGTGTGAAGAATCTAAATTCAGCACTTTGACCTTGTCACTGCTTAGCTGCTGCCATTTGGGGATTATTTCCCTCCTGACCCATACCTCAGCATCTCTTGGGGTTACCCATGAGCCCTAAATCCTTTGTGACCCTGTCATCTTTCTTTGCCCTGTGACCAAAGCACTAGCTCTCTGCTAAGTGACTAGTGCAGAATCCTTTCCTTCTTGCACATGGACCTCAACCAGTTCCCTGGACACACTCATCATTACCTTTGCAAACTTCCTCCTTTGCAAAACACAGCACTATACTCTAACTGGAAGGTATTTTTGTCCAAGCACTGAGAAGCAGCAGGAGACATCAAAGCATATAACTGTCTCCTAGCAGTATTGTTATTCAATCTGGTGACCTGATTTGTCTTGCTTCTTAGTCTTCATATTCTAAACATACCCAAAGACCCCTCATCTGCTGATCTTCCTAAGAAGGCCTTGGTGCAGCCTGAAGTCCAGCCAACACATTCCCCCAGCTGGAGACTAATTCGTAATGCTAGGCTGTGCCTCTGTGAGTACGGATTAAGCAGATGGCTGGCAAGTCACATGATCCGAGCTGATACTTCCCAAGTCCCATCATGAAATCTTCTGACCTGAGTTACTCTAAAACCTAATTTTAAATCCAGAGGGCATTGTGATGGGTGTCTACTAATCCTGCAGGACTGGGCTCTTCACACAGCTGTGAGGACTCACCTCCTGTACAGGGGGATTTTTGC